TTCTGCCACTACTTTCGAAACCCGGGGGGGGAAGCAGGTCTGTAAATTGCTATATTTTTGTCCACCAATTTCCAACACTTTTCCTCTTTTTTAACGTCGTTTTCGCAGATTTTCCTGCGCGCCACTGGTCTTTCCATCGTTTCCGCTCGTTAACATTGTCTTGGTTTTCACTATATTTTTTAAAGCATTTTTAGATATAACATTTTCCTTGGTTTTCACGTATTTTTCTAACATGTTACATGCCTCCTAGCATGTTCACGCGTGTCCTCCATGTTGTACTGTTTTCTTTCCAGTGGATTTTGCACGATTTCCTCTGATTGTTATCATGTTTTCCTGCAGTTTCTATATCCTCTTCGTGGGTTTTCAGTCTATTCATGCATTTTTAATCTATTTTTCCAAGATTATTACCCGTCTCCTTTTTGCACCATTTCCTCTGGTTTGCTGCATTTTCAATGTATTTTTCCAAGAGCTTTACCCGTCTCCTTCATTTTCCGATCGTTTTTGCACCATTTCCTCTGGTTGTTATCGCATTTTCCTGCACTTTCACTGTCTTTTTCCAACATGTTTACTGCATCGTCATAGTTTGTTCCTAGCAGTCACTCCGGTTTCCTCCATGTTCCAACAGATTTTGCATGGTTTGTTCCTAGCATTTTCCTCTGATCGTTTTCATGTTTTCCTCAAGTTTCATTGTATTTTCCAATACATCCTCTTCGTGGGGTTTCAATATGTTTTGTCCAGCATTTTTTTACTACATGTTTCCTATCATTTTCACCTCTTTCCTCCATAGGTTTTTGCACCATTTCCTCTGGTTTCCTGCATTTTCATACCTTTTCAATATTAATGTTAATCCAAGAGTTTTACCTGTCTCCTTCATTTTCCGATCCTTTTTGCACCATTTCCTCTCGTTGTTATCACATTTTCCTGCACTTTCACTGTATTTTTCCAGCATGCTTACTGCATCGTCATGGTTTGCGCCTAGCGTTCGCTCCGATTTCCTCCATTTTCCAAGGGATTTTCCATGGTTTGTTCCTCGCATTCGCTCCGTTTTCGTCCGTTTTCCAGGGGATTTTGTACGATTTCCTCTGATCGTTATCATGTTCTCCTGCAGTTTCATTGTATTTTCCAATACATCCTCATAGTTCCGCAACATTTTGGCCGTACGGTGAGAAATCAAAACATAGCTCTACTCGCAAAATGGGCAGTGCAAACCCAAGGCAATATTATAACATACGTAAGAAAGGGTATAAGAACGAATTAAAATCGAGGAAAACAATGCAAAACCCACGAGAAATATAGAACAGTGGCGAACATGCAGTCCAAATCAAAAGTATATATATTTAGGCCATTTACAGACCTGGGTACCCCCCCCCCACCCCCCAAGGGTCTGGAAAATAGGTATTTTACAGGAAATGTCGCGGAATAGCATCATCCCTGACATCGATAGAGATAATTGTTTGGCATCCCGGAAAATCTTCTCAGCTATCACACTCGCCAAACATCCCTTTTAAAAGGCACACATACTATCACGGACGTACAGATGCATATCATTCCCGTCATTGCCATTAGAAGATTCAAATTCTTTCTCGATGTTTTAGTACAAGATTCACTTTTAGTTCTGTTTCAGCCTTCTCAGTACGGCCTCTTACAATGATATTACAGCATTTGTCTCCTAACCTAGGTGGCTCCTGGGCGCAATCTTCATTCCAATGCTTTGTGACAATAACCAGAGGCCTGGAGCCTATGCATCACTTGACAGTCGACTCAGTTCTAAACCGGAAAGACTATTCCTTCCGTTTACCAGTAGATCGTTTTTGTAGTTCTTATCACAAAACTACCAGAATCAGGGAGGCACCAAAAAACGTCAAACAGCTTTAAGCATTATAAATACTCTAATCTGCAGATTGTATTTATTTTTCTTACTCTGTGAACGAAATCACACTTTTCTAACTTCACACAGATTACCATGAAACCAATTTTCCCATGCAACTCTTAAAATCTTACAACTCATACATCTTTTTTCCTATACCATCCGCATCTTGCTCCAAGGTTTCATGGCAATGTCTTGTACGCGAGTCAGCCACTATTTCCTATCACCAAACTACATTGCTCATCATCTAACATTATCTACAGAAACCAAATCGGATTTCCTGCTCAACGTTTCCGCTCGTTGACATTGTCTTGGTTTTCACTATATTTTTTAAAGCATTTTTTAGTTATAACATTTTCCTAGGTTTTCACTGTATTTTTCTAACATGTTACATGCCTCCTAGCATGTTCACGCGTGTCCTCCATGTTGTACTGTTTTCTACATCGTTTCCTCTAGTTGTTACAAGCATTTCCTAGCTTGTACACCGTTTTCCTAATATTGTCACAACTTTTCTTCCAGTTTCCACTGCTTTTTCTACCGTTTCCTGTGGTTACTTTCTTCTCTTTTGTAGGTTTTCACTGTGTTTTGTCCAGCTTTTTTTATTACATGCTTCCTACCATTTTCACCGCTTTCCTCTATGGCTTTTTGTACCATTTCCTCTCGTTTCCTGCATTTCATGCATTTTCAATATATTTTTCCAAGAGTTTTACCCGTCTCCTTCAGTTTCCGATCGTTTTCGCACCATTTCCTCTGGTTGTTATCGCATTTTCCTGCACTTTCACTGTATTTTTCCAGCATGTTTACTGCATCGTCATAGTTTGTTCCTAGCAGTCGCTCCGGTTTCCTCCATGTTCCAACAGATTTTGCACACTTTATTCTGGTTGTTATCACATTTTCCTGCCAGGTTGTTATCACATTTTCCTTCACTGTATCTTTCCAACATTTTCCAGTGGATTTTGCACGATTTCCTCTGATTGTTATCATGTTTTCCTGCAGTTTCTATATCCTCTTCGTGGGTTTTCAGTCTATTCATGCATTTTTAATCTATTTTTCCAAGATTTTTACCCGTCTCCTTTTTGCACCATTTCCTCTGGCTTGCTGCATTTTCAATGTATTTTTCCAAGAGTTTTACCCGTCTCCTTCATTTTCCGATCGTTTTTGCACCATTTCCTCTGGTTGTTATCGCATTTTCCTGCACTTTCACTGTCTTTTTCTATCATGTTTACTGCATCGTCATAGTTTGTTCCTAGCAGTCACTCCGGTTTCCTCCATGTTCCAACAGATTTTGCATGGTTTGTTCCTAGCATTTTCCTCTGATCGTTATCATGTTTTCCTCAAGTTTCATTGTATTTTCCAATACATCCTCTTCGTGGGGTTTCAATATGTTTTATCCAGGTGATCTATCAGTTCTTTCACACCTTGGAAAGATGTCCCATTCACCAATCAAACGGAGGTACAGTCATCCGATCTGCTGCTCTCCAACACATCTCTTACTTTCATTCGGTACCATGATCACTCCACTTCTCCAACCCTCTAGCTTTTAACGTTCTCCACTTGCACTCGTCGCAATACATTTTCCTAGCGTTCTCAACACTTCTGCCACTACTTTCGAAACCCGGGGGGGGGGGAAGCAGGTCTGTAAATTGCTATATTTTTGTCCACCAATTTCCAACACTTTTCCTCTTTTTTAACGTCGTTTTCGCAGATTTTCCTGCGCGCCACTGGTCTTTCCATCGTTTCCGCTCGTTAACATTGTCTTGGTTTTCACTATATTTTTTAAAGCATTTTTAGATATAAATAGATATAACATTTTCCTTGGTTTTCACGTATTTTTCTAACATGTTACATGCCTCCTAGCATGTTCACGCGTGTCCTCCATGTTGTACTGTTTTCTTTCCAGTGGATTTTGCACGATTTCCTCTGATTGTTATCATGTTTTCCTGCAGTTTCTATATCCTCTTCGTGGGTTTTCAGTCTATTCATGCATTTTTAATCTAATTTTCCAAGATTATTACCCGTCTCCTTTTTGCACCATTTCCTCTGGTTTGCTGCATTTTCAATGTATTTTTCCAAGAGCTTTACCCGTCTCCTTCATTTTCCGATCGTTTTTGCACCATTTCCTCTGGTTGTTATCGCATTTTCCTGCACTTTCACTGTCTTTTTCCAACATGTCTACTGCATCGTCATAGTTTGTTCCTAGCAGTCACTCCGGTTTCCTCCATGTTCCAACAGATTTTGCATGGTTTGTTCCTCGCATTTTCCTCTGATCGTTTTCATGTTTTCCTCAAGTTTCATTGTATTTTCCAATACATCCTCTTCGTGGGGTTTCAATATGTTTTGTCCAGCATTTTTTTACTACATGTTTCCTATCATTTTCACCTCTTTCCTCCATAGGTTTTTGCACCATGTCCTCTGGTTTCCTGCATTTTCATACCTTTTCAATATTAATGTTAATCCAAGAGTTTTACCTGTCTCCTTCATTTTCCGATCCTTTTTGCACCATTTCCTCCCGTTGTTATCACATTTTCCTGCACTTTCACTGTATTTTTCCAGCATGCTTACTGCATCGTCATGGTTTGCGCCTAGCGTTCGCTCCGATTTCCTCCATTTTCCAAGGGATTTTCCATGGTTTGTTCCTCGCATTCGCTCCGTTTTCGTCCGTTTTTCAGGGGATTTTGTACGATTTCCTCTGATCGTTATCATGTTCTCCTGCAGTTTCATTGTATTTTCCAATACATCCTCATGGTCTCTCCGGCCACCAAAAAGGCGGACCTAGGGGGAATCGATACCCCACCGTCAGCAAATTGCCTAGTGGTACATAATCCAGCAAAATGCTCCGTTTTCTGGCGCTCAACACAGGGGCACGGCGAGATTTCGTTCCCTTTCGGCAACCACCCCCCCCACACCCCCTATTCTCACTTCGTTCGCAAACAGCAACTAGCCAGCTAGCTGGCTTTCGTAAAATGTATATAGACATATGTAGGGCACTTTTCACACACCGTACAACTTCTGTCTCTCTATCTATATGCTACATGTCTTGATACTTAGACTGTGGCGAGTTTGATTCATTCCTTGACTTCTTGACTTCAAACATTACCACCCCCAGCACACTGCATGCACCCTGCCCTAGCAGCCTTCTTTTACGGTCTGCTTGATGTTCCACCTTGTGCGGCTGTCAGGTGGGGGGTGATTTTCTGCGAGTTTCTGGCTTGGTTGTAGTGGAACACATCAAAGGTGATTGAGCGCTTTGTTCAACACAGACCCTCCAAGGCTTCAACCCTGATCACATTCCCATCGATTTGTCCAGTGTTCAAATGAGAGATTGCCCTGTCTGCCTCGTGCAAACGCACAAACGGACACAGGTCAACTTTATATAGTGCCAGGATATAAAAGATGGAGATCTGTTGCACAAAACGTATCTCCACCTAGCTCTAAGATCACATTTGGCAAAATAAAGGAATTAGGGACAGAACATCTCTCTCCTCGTAGAACTCAACATACGCGTAGCCTCAGCTGTGGCGTGGAGAGGTGAAGGAGACGCCACATTTCAGGAGTTGCCCGCTTTTCCCATACTTTCCCATGAGAAACTGACCTTTTGGGAGACCTGCAGTCTTATCGATCGCCAAGGTTGCTTCCTTTACCTGACAAACGAAGAAAAGACTGCTCGTGCACAACCCTTGATGCAAGCATCAGATACAGGAACAAATTAGCAAAAAGCGTGAAACGAAAAAGAGCAATCACGATGTGCAAGGAGAGCCCTCGGGCCGTGACGTGCAGAGATTTAGAACAAAGTCGCAATCAGCACAGCAGTCGCCCGAGCAATTTGAACAGATACTTATCCAGCCTTTCCGTAGTTGCCAAAAATTTCCTTGAGATGATCTTCGTTCACCTTGGGCTTGCACCACAGGTTTATGCAGTGCACTTTACAGAGTAATGAAACTGAACCCCAATGGTTTGAAAGAATTCAATGCAAAAACAAGGCAGTAAGAGTGGACACGACGGTGAACTGCAGACAAATACTTAAGGCCAAGGGGGTGAGGAAGGAAAGCTATCAGGGTGTGTGCAACAATGAGGAAGAGGAGGGGGGACGAGGAGCAGGAGGATGCAGGTGATGAAATTGCCCGTATCAGCAAGAAATGAACTGACAACAATGAAGACATCTTACTAAAGCTGCTGCTGTGACTATGATGTGGTGGCGACGATGCTGATGCTGATGCTGATGCTGACGGCGACGATGGCCCAGGGGCGGTTGAGCCCCACCAAAACTGCTTCCAACACAGCCAGGCCAGCTGGGTATTAGTTAACTGCGAAGTTTCATGTGATTGGCGATTCCAGCTCCTGCCAATACCTTGCTAAAGCAAGAGGGACTTCAACTGGCAGAAGCTAGCTTTCATGATAAGATTGCACTAACAAATCATAATGCCCTCTCTTTCTCTGAACCAGGAGAAGTATAGAAGTATAGAAAATATGGTTCTCTGAATGCAGAACATCAAAGATACACAAATGCAATAGAAACCCCAACAACTTCAGACCAATGGCTAATGATGGCTAATGTTCCAGCCACACAAGGAAAGCTCCGAGTGCCGATCATTTCGACTCAAGTTGGAGACAGCTAAGACCTTTCGATCTTCACGCCTGAAGTTTGGAACTCCCATGGAAGCTGAACGGATTTAATAGGGTTAAATCATATGAGCACTGACTTCACAAGCTGCACTGTTTGATGTCTGCAACTACACACTCAACAAATGGATCACTGCATCTGCAGACACACTGAGGAACGACCTCCTTTCACGGTCTTTTCCACGACTGCGGCTTCTGTCCTTTGAAACTATCAAACACAGACTTCTAATGATTTCTCCATTGGCATTCAGCAGCCTACTGTCTGGTCAGCACAACATGCTCAATGTCTGATCTGACCCCTTCATTCAAATACCTTCGATCGAAAACCTTTCGTTTGGCAGAAAAAACTGAGGGGACTTGTGACTTAGTCTCTGGCCCTGTCTCGGCCTCGATCCTGATGGAGTGTTCAAGTTGCGAAAATTGCGGGAGAATCAATATAGAATTAATAGAGGAAAGGGAACTGCTGACTTGTAGGATTGACCAATTTTCAACCGGAACCATGTCACATTGTTGATGGTTTTTTGGCGAGACTACTACATTTGTGTCACAACCGAACCCATTGTCTTCATCCTGTGACTCCTGATTTTTCTTCTCGGTGCCTCTTTACCCCCTCTCATTGCCAAAAACTGGTTCTGTTTTTTTGGGGGGAAGTTTCGTGATCAGCGTTTCAATTTGTTTACCCGTGTATGTTCATATTAAATGTGAATGTGTGCATAGTTATAGTTCCTATAGTGCAACCATATTCCAATCATGTTGAACCCTTCAGCCCTGCAGCCAAGGGTCCCGATCACGCGATCTGTCTCGCGACTTCTCGCGGGACTTGTCTCTCGACTTCTCACGCGACTTCTCCCGAGACTTCTCACGAGACTTTTCCCGGGATCGTTCTCTAGATCTTTCCTGGGATTTTGCCTTTTCCTTTTCCTTGTCAACCTGGCTCATGATGTTCATGTTCAAAACAAATGAAAAACAACCTAGCACGTTCCGAACGCTCTGTATTTCCTGACTGTTCAAAACTGTTCCATGCCGTGTGATCCTGCCCGACCTCATCGGTTTTTATTTCTCCATCCTGGCAATGTTTGGAAAAGCGCCAAATGAACTCCGAATTTCCTACCGTTGCCCGGTTTGAATGTGAGTGCTGTGGTAATTTTCGTTTTCAGAAGCAACTATTAATAATTATATACATTCAGCAAACAAACGCTCTAATTGCAATTGCCATCAATTTCCGTCATGGCCAAACACCGGGATCCACCTCCGCCAAGCCGTCCTGTTTTTCACCAGGCTCTTGTTCTTGCCTTGGCAAACAACGATTTGTGACTTACCGAATATGCCACAAAAAAAAAACTGGCAAATGAACAACAATTTCGACATGTTTTTTTTGTACATCAAATCAAAAACTGTTGCAATCACGATTCAAATTCAACTGTCACACCGGGACTTGCAAACAGCAACAGGTACCTGTCATTGTTTTTTGCATTGAGTTTTGCATCTTCCCAGAATAAATTGATCGAAACAAAAATAGTCTGGACGAAAATCATGAACCTTGGTGCGGTCCCAGTTACTCCTTATCGGAGTTGTCTTCGTCTGCCATTTCTCCTGAACCCCCTTGGCGATCAAAGAAGCTTGAACCGAAGGATACCGAAGGCCAACGGTTCATTGTTGCCATGTTTGTTTCGGGATCATGTGGGCGAACCGAACCATGGAGACACCTGCTAATCCACGAATGGTAGGCCAAAAAAATATCATTTCATCCACGCATGCCAAAATCCATGAGAGCTGTTCATGTTTTGTTATTATTCCTTACTTTGCCGAAGCAAACACTCAAAATTGATTGAAGGAATGCCCATCGCCTTTTGAACAATTTGAGCAATGATGCGTTTCACGATCACGCAAACATACGTCGGAAAAAACGCCCAAACATGAAAAAATGCGCATGATGCGAAGACCAATATATAGCAAAACTGTTTCGGGAATCCATGTTAATTTGCAAGTCCATAAAATGGTCCATCATGTTTTGGAGCCTACGTTGCACAATCAACCGTTCTTTTACATTGGGTTCATACCCCACAATCCACAAAACAATCAGCCAACCACACTTTTGCACTTCAAATCCACTCTGTGGATCATGCCTTGCAAACCGCAAAAACCGACACATGGATGCAAAAACTAAGAATACATTCAGTAGAAGCATTACAACAAACATCATGTCGCTCGGCCACAACAAAGCAAACAAAAGAACTGGCGATCTGAAAAAGAATATTGTAAACCAAAGTGCGAAGCAATGGACGAAAATTTCGCACCTGTTTTGTGCCTAAAAGGGCCTCACGATAACGGGGCCTCACATGTTATTCATGTGGCTCAAATGAAGTGAAAACAACTGCAAATTTTCTCGACTTTGTGCGTGTCATCCTTGCAAGTGTCACCAATGAGTGGGTTTCACAATTCTCTGCGCTCCTCCTTTGGGATATGAGCGCAGTTTTTTTCCCCAACGCATTCCCAGCATGTTTTGCTGGTAAATCATAGTTTTGCAACCCCACTCATCTCACTGCATCAAGGAGTTCATGTCTTCAACGTAAACTCTAAAACGTTCCATGCGCTCGTCCAGCCCTCTGTTTCTGTGAATCCTTTACAAGTTTTGAAAGATATTCCTCACATCTCCCCACCCTCATTGACAATCCTTCTGGATTTGCACCGCTTGTAGCGTCCAAAAGTATGGCGACCGCACCTTGCAACTGATTGATTTCTGTCCAACGCTCTGCTTGAAGTGGACGTGCAATATTTTAGTCGCGCCTCACATGTTCCAGCAGGGATGCAATACGTCCGTGGGAACTGTGAGGTTCTGGTTCAATCACTGGGTCCATTGTCCTTGGTTCTTCTTCTCCTCCTTGGCTCTATCGCGTACGTTCCACAATACCAAGTTTGCACGTTTTTGCACAAACATTTGTGCCCTCTGCTCACGGGAGAGGAAAGTCTTCACAACCCCCAAGGCCGTTTAGAAGGAAACTTCCAAGTTACACAGCGCGTAATAGGAAGTGCTGGTTAAAAACTTTCACTCAAAATTTCACTCAAATAAAATAACGAAGTGCGCTCAGATGGACAAACGAGGTGCAGCACGGCTCACTCTTTTTGCTTGCAGAGTCGGGGGAGAAATCACACGGTTCACGGTGACTGTCGGGATTTGTCGATGTCACCCTTGTCACAGCTCTATGTCGCCTATGACTGGTTTGTCTCTAAGAGACCTCAGCCAATTGGATCCATGTGTTTCCCCCAGTTTTTGAGGGTGGGTGACTCGAAGAGGCAGTTTGGGTGGGTCAAAAATTATGGGAATTCACAGAAAATTTCTGTGTGAACCCGCCCACCACATCCCTAAAATTTGAGATGTAAAATGCACGTGAAACAAATCATCAGACATGTCACCGAAGATGTTTCTATGAACAGCTAAGATACAAGTAAACACAAAACGAGGTTCTGAGGAATGTTCTCCACAGTTTGGTTTGTGTTTTTTTTAACGACCTTGTGCGCTTCGTTCCTACGCAGGGTAGAAAAGACGAGGTTTTCATGGTGCCCATGATTCACCTACGTCTTCACAACCCCCAAGGCCGTTTAGAAGGAAACTTCCAAGTTACACAGCGCGTAATAGGAAGTGCTGGTTAAAAACTTTCACTCAAAATTTCACTCAAATAAAATAACGAAGTGCGCTCAGATGGACAAACGAGGTGCAGCACGGCTCACTCTTTTTGCTTGCAGAGTCGGGGGAGAAATCACACGGTTCACGGTGACTGTCGGGATTTGTCGATGTCACCCTTGTCACAGCTCTATGTCGCCTATGACTGGTTTGTCTCTAAGAGACCTCAGCCAATTGGATCCATGTGTTTCCCCCGTTGTGTGAGGATCCATTTCGCCTCGCAGCCATCCCATTCCACTCTAGGAAAAGGTGATCCATCTAAGATGGAAGTGAAGAGCTCTGCCGGCAATCTCACGTCTCCACCGAAACTCAAGCACCACTTTTGGCATGCCTCGGCGGTTCGCCTTCTGGAAGGAAGGTCTGCCGGATTGCAATAGGATGCGATACGCTCGTACCACGAGTAACAAGGCATTGCACCCTCCAAACAAGAGCAGGCATGGGCCATTCGAAAAAGTGGGTCGGATGGTGACCTCCCCTTGATCAAGCAATATCGGCAGGGTTCATTGTCAATGAAAAGAATTGCACGGCGTCCATGCAAAAGGTGCCGCGCCTGCCAGCGGATGCACAGAACCGCGTACATCTCAATTTGACATATGAGTTGTTCACCCACCAAGCCGCGCCAAGCTTCCAGTAAAAAGAAAGGCACCTTGCCAGCAAAGCAGACCCCGGGTTTGTGTAGCCGGGTCAATAAGGATGGCTCCCCAGTCTGCTAAGTCTTCTCCAAAAGCACCATCGGTGTAGATTATTATTGGTAGGGGATCATCCGAGGTTGCAACCTTTCGTGGTCTAAGTGACCTAAGGATTGTCAACGGATGTTCGCACAGGTCGGCAAAAACTGCTGGTTGGAGCTCCAACGAAGAGAACCCTTGAGCTGCAGGCTGAAGAGGTTTGCCAAGTGCAAACCCTGACGCAAAGTTTAAAGGGCCATGTATACTTGCTGCAGCTGAACTGGTCACCTTGCCTTGCTGGGCCGCTCGGCCAATCAGCCGTTCAATCCGTAGAAGGCGTTCAGGTTTGTTTCCTACTGTAAAGAAGGCATTGGTGAGGTTGGCCAGGTCATACTCCACTCCAAGGGCTGCAAAAGTTGATGCAAAGGGCTTGGCTTTCTTGCCAGTGACCGCATGACGCCAGCCAAGCAATTGGAAGAAACCCGACACCACTTGGGTGGTGTTTTCTGCAGCCATAGCAAATTCCAAAGTGGGATAGTCATCGCAAAAGTTCGTTGTCTCAAGTGGGCCCGAGGACTGTTGATTTTCTTGTTTAGTGAGTGTTGGGACATACACTATCTAATGTGCTCTTCAGTCCACTCAGTGGGTGAGGAGATGGCAGCAGGAAAAACAGCCTAAGGCTAGGAAAAAAAACCTGCTGCATGGAAGACAATAGCGGGAGCCAAAGTCTCCTGAGGAGAATTGGAAAAAAGCAACCCGTCACTGGAAAACATGATAGCAAACGTGGCCTTGTGATTGTGGGCGCACGAATACAAAAATGGTGAAAGCTTCGGCTACGCCCGTCTCACTACTGGTGCCATGACCGATGTAGCCAAACCACTGCGTCAGCTGGGAGGGTGGCGCTGGCGGACGATGGATGGAGGCGCTTGGTACAGCTATGCTGAAAGCCACGACAAAGGCGAAGGAACTATTGGGCAGGATCCACAGATAAGAGTAGAGCAGCAGCAGGGCGGGCAACATCACCATCAGCAGGACTGGCCAGTTCAGCTCTGCGACGAAGGACTGCCCGTACTCGGTATCGCCGCACGGTGACGCAAAGCTCTTGAAGGAGTTGGGCGTGGCATGCTGCAGCGTCTTCGCCTTCCCGGGCCGCGGCTGCTCGAGCCAGAAGCCGGAGAGTGTGAGACGCCGTGGCAGACCAGGCGCCCGTGCTTTCCACGACCAAGGGCTGGAAGCGCACTCCTTGACGTTCACAATCTTGGCCGGTTTGAAGGTGACCAGCTTTGACCTCTGTATAGGCGTCGGCCGCGGCACCACTTTTGCAGCTAGCCTCGCGCAAGCTTTCCGACCGCTGAGGTGCTGTAACAGCAATGTCAAGTGCAGTCGGAAGGCCGGCTAAGCTAGGTACAAAGATGTCTGCGGGACGACGGCGCCCGAGGCTCGTGTCTTCGGGGCGCTGCGGCAACAGCAAACCAGGCTTTTCTCGTTCAGGCTGTAGGCCCGCCCGCTCGGCCCATCGGAGAATAGTGTCTCGAACCGCATGGTGCCGGAGGGTGCGTTCCCCCCCCGCGGAACACGCCCCAGCATGCAGAGAGAAACGGTCGAGAACCCCATTGCACTGAGGGCACCATGTGTCGTCAGCAGCATCGGGTAGCCCAAGTCTGTGGCGAAGCTCAGTGACAAAAATTGCAGGCTCAATGCGCAGCAGGCCATGCGGGCGAGCTGCCAGGAACGCTCTTGCGCCAGGTGCTGCTTCAGACAGGAGTAATGCACGACCAGTCAAAGTTGAAGAACTAAGCTGGGCTTCCCAGCTGGTATCGTCCAGGGCCGTGGTCAACTGTTTTTGCGGCTGCCCCAAGCACTGCTGCAAAGTAACCTGTTGAGCCGGCGGGAGGTTGCTGTTGTAGAGCTGCAAGGTAGTACCAAAATGCCCCGAGGCGAAGTCAGCGTCAGAAAACTTGGAGTCAAGTTGGGCACAAAGTTGACGACTTTTGCCTGCAGATGAAAGGTAAGCAGCTGGCCCATCCAAGTGCGTGGAGCGCAAGCCAAGCCCCGCCTGAGCAAAGCTTCTGGCTGCTTGCTGCCACTGGGCATCGGTTGGGTGAAGCCCGGTTAAACTGCTGAAGCAAGCACGCACTCGTTGATCAAACATCTTGAAGCTGTCCATCTGGGGTCCAGGCGGCGAGCACCGCATGCTGTGCACCATTCGGCAATGCCCAGCGCTGGAGCGTAACAGGCGGACGCCGACCTGCGCATCATCCAATCCACCAATGGCATCCAGGAGCTGAGAGGCAGCGACTGTTCGGTCTTGAGCATGAGTGGAAACGAAGTCGTCATCCCCCACGGCTGCCCCAAGCAGTGCAAAGTTACGCTGAACCCGACTGTTCCCAGCACCATCGGTCAGGAGGGCCTGTGGGAGATGGGCAGCAAGGCCGGAACAGCTACCATTGTGCAAGCAAACCACTTCCGATTTGTCCAAATTGAGGTGAAGGCCGAAGTGAGCCGATCGAGTTTGGATGTGGGCCAGCGCAGCACCAACAGCCGGGACATCTCCCGCGATGACGCCATCATCCAAATAGAAAAAGGCGAGGTTCAGAGGCCCTTGGCTCAATTCAAGCGCCAAGGGGTGCAGAGCACTGGCGAAGAGCAGCGGCCCCAAAGGGTCTCCTTGCTGGACCCCACCAGCCGAGAGCAAGTGTGTTTGGCCGAAGTGGAGCTCCGAAGGCTGCTTGTAGCACCAAATGACCCAACGGGTCAGAGCAGGAAACCGCAAGGCAGCAGAGTCCAACACCGCTTGCCGAGAAACCAAGTTGAAGGCATTTTTGAAGTCAAGCTTCACCAAGATTTTGCCGGTGTGTCCTGCATTGCGTTCATGCCAAGCCCGGGCCGTGTGGACGGCCGCTTCAGCCCCTCCAGCAGTTGCCGCACCAAGCTGCACTGGAGCAAAATGCTGCCGGGCCTCATCCCGCACAGCCTCCATCAAACACTTGGCCGTGAGGCGGCGTAGGATTTCTCCAACGGCAATGGGCCGCACGCCACCATTGGGTTTTGGCAGAGCCACCAGACTAGCACCTGCCAGGCAGGGAGCTACAGCAGCACATGCTTGGCCTTGAGCTAGCAAGCCGACCACCCCGCAGAGTTGTTGTAGCAACGCTTCGGACGAGCCAGACGCGCAAGCTTCCCGAAGATGTTGGACCCGCAAACCAGAGGGGCCAGCAGCTGTGTCAGCTGGGAAACTGCGCAAGGCCCGGGCCACAGCATCAGGCACCAGCACTGGGGCCAAAGGTTGGGCCGCCAGCTTGGGTGTAGTAGGAACAGGTTGAAGAGCTTGAAGAGCTTGTGTTGTGGCAGCGGTTTGCGGGCAGAGCCCCTCCGACAGCAAAGCATTGCAAGCTTTTCTGTCAAACCCTTCCCTGGCCAGAGCAGTGGCAAGAGCCCGCTGCTCGTCCACAGTTGGCGGCTTGCTGCGCCCAGCGCCTCCCAGCAAGCGGCCACGAGACTCCCAAAGACTCATTCGTTCTCCCTGCTGCCACCGGTGGAGGCGATCCAGGGTGTAGGCAGCACTGGCCTTGACATGCTTGCGGCCGCTGCGAGGGGGCGTGCCGAGCACACAACGGGGCAGCATCAGGAGTTCTTGCCAAGCCTGTTCATCATTGCGGTGCACCACTGTGGCCAGAGCTCGTGTTAAAGTCTGGCTCCATAAGTGCCGAGCACTGTGAGGCACATGGCGGAGGGTTGGCATGCTGCCTTGTTGGATGTCCCGGAAGGATGGTAGCTGAGGCCCTGGCTGATTGGCGGCAGGCGGGGCTGTGGCAGCACGAAGGGCTGGGTGGCAAGTTGGGTGCACGCCGTGCCGGACAGACACACTGAGGCCACAGGCCAGGCAGCGTGTCCGCCCTTGTGTGTGGAGCCAAGCAGGCGGCACCTCGCCTTGCAAGCTGCCAGACAGATGAGCATCGATGTGGTGGCGCATGCTGATATGGTTGGCCCACCCACGTGCTCGTGTTCGGTCGGCACAAGGGCAGCCAGGAACCGGACAGAAAACACGAGCCAACCCGGCATCGACGTCCATGGCTGAAGGCTGCGAGGGATCCTCAGGGCCAGGGTGGGAAGCCTCCTCTACCCGGACACCAGTCAGGCCGCAACGACGCCGGAGGCGTTGAAGCCACTCGAAGCGCTGCTTTGGGTGATGTTGGCGGCCGTGACGGTGAAGAAGAGCCCAAGACGAGATCGGTGATGTGGCCACAGAACTCCAGGTCTGATTCAAAGCCTGGGTGAGGTGCCGCCTCTCTCGTCGGTTGATGGTGGGGAGAACGACAGGGCACCTGGCTTGCATTCTTGTAGGCAACACCGGCCCGAGGCCCACGAGGCGCACATGCGAGCCGCAGAGCAGGAGCCACCACGCCAGCCATCCCGGGGAAGGAGCCATGGCACGTCAGCGGCGGCAGCGGGCGACAGAGGAAGGACGACCAGCCAACTCCGACCCAATAATGCGGAGGGGGCAGCCCCCCGCCGCCTGACAAAGAAGAGCCGGGCAAGAGATGGCCAGCCAACCCCCCCGAAGCGCTGCTGCCACTGGGGAGTGAATGATGCCAATTGATCATGAAAGACGTTCAACACATGATGACACAGTCTTATCCAAGATGAGATCGATTATAGAAGTATAGTCCGTACGAAGGTAAAGAAGATGGGTTTGCAAGCAGTTTTGTTTTGATGGAGATCTTGCTGGATGTAATTCAGTGGCACTCCTATACTCAAGTTCTGAACATACCAATTTACGATTGCGCATTGTCAGGGCGGCAGTATGTAGACCATCCGGGCAGAAGGACCGGACAGCCATACGTAGATGCCACTACGTCAAGGGTACCGAAGCTTCTCAAACCCCCTAGGGGGTTTGGACCAGGGGGGCCGGCCAAAAACCTCCAGACCCCAGATCCAAACCTTCTCAGTCTATTTACAGTCTTGCAGCGTGTCATTTTCAACCATGTTGCGTTTTGTGTTTATGGGATTTGTAGTCGGGGGTCCAAGAAACAGAAAGCGACGCTATGTGGGCCCAAGCTTTTTCACAGCCCAAGTTTTTAACATTTTGATATTCAATATGTATTGGAAGGATGGCTGATTAATCAAAAACTTCCGTCTTAGGAAATCCATATTCTAGAATCTATTCGGTTGAGTTTTCTGGTTACTCATGTCGAAATTCCAGTGCCTGAGCTCCATCAAGAAAAACGTGGAAGTAACATGGCAGCTTGAGCTTGGGGGCTGGTTTCCGGAAGGAACGCGTAGACTGCTGTATTGCCTACTGTTTTCCCATGAGAAGGTCAAAAGCAGGGAGGAAAAAACCAAGAAGGAAAGACCATTTCTGAGCGACGTAGCCGAGCACATCCAGGCTCATCCCATAAGTATAGTCTGCGCCCGGTTGAAAAAGCAAAGGCAAACCTCAAATCAGTGGAATCTTGCAGAACCCGAAAGACATCGGAAAAAACACAACTTCAATCATCTATCCGCCACACGCGACAAAATATATATGACATCGTGTCATGTGGTTTCTGTGACCACCAAGAAGCTGCACAATTCCTCGCAAAGCTTCTCCAAGGAGTCCACCTCTCCTCTGCTGCAGCGAAATTTGGCCAAGCTATTGGCTGAGTTTGGCTCCGGTATGAAACAATCCAAACATTCTGGGCCGTTCTCACTTCTCACTTCTCTCTCTCTCTCTCTCTCTCTCGCGCGCTCGTGCTAGCGCACTCTGACACACCTGCCTGTTTCTTGCTTCACAGCTACGGCTTTGTAAAGCTTCTCCTACGATCACGCAGGCTACACAAAAAAGGGGGCAAATCTGATGATCGGCCGCATCTTTTCTTTATCCCTTCTGTGGCAAATGTGCTCTTGCATGAGTTCATTCTGCATGCGTTTTCTATCTCATCCAACTTGCTACTATTGAAGGAAAGAATAAATGAACACAAAAAACTACGCCATGACGGCTCTTGCGGGTTTTCATGCCATTTTCATCCATTTTCAGGATCTGGACCCAGACTGTTTGCCGGGCACTTGCTAGAGCCAATTGCCAGAGCCAACTACGTACATTCTGACTGGCTGCACAATGTTTGGACAGTGTTTGCACGATGTTTGCTCTAATTTGCTCACGTTTAACCTATATAGTGAGACAACTGGACAAGCACACTGTGACAAAAGTACTACATCATCAGTGTGAAGTGGGGACAGCGGTGGATCTTGATGATTGATTTCAGGCAGCTGGCCTTCTTATCATCTAGGAGACATGAACTACCTGGGTGTCTGACATCAGCCATCCTCTGATTCCCAACAGCGCTTCTGTTGGGTTTTAATCTCTTACGAGGAGTGGATGCATGCTCCAGAAAACCGGAGCACTGGTGGAACCTTGCTGTTTTAGAACCTTGCTGCTTGCTGGACCCTTGTTGGACCCTTGCTGGACCCTTGCAGGACCCTTCCTTAAACCTGGCTGGAACCTTGGTGGGGCATTGCTGGAAATCCACTGGAACCTGGTGAAACCTGGCTGGAACCTCGCTGGAACCCTCTTGCTGGAACCCCTGGATGGAATATCTTGCTGGGAACCAATGCAGGTGTGGATTTCATTCTTTGTATATTGTTTCTTGCTTTGCTTAATGTGCCGGGTTGTGATGTTGGAAGTCTAAGTCTAGCTTGACCTTGCTGGAACTGTTTTGCAAACTTGCTGGAACCTATATGAAGGCAATTTCTGGATTTTCTTTGGGTTTTGTTTTGCTTCTTTCTTTTTTCAAATTGTAGCAGGCAATGAAAGACGACGATCCCTGGCTGAAACTGTGACGCTGGGATCTCTGCCTGAACCTTTGAAGGAACCCTGGGACTGTAATCCCGGAACTCTGAAATCTTGGAGCTTTGAAACCATGGAAACCTGCAACTGTGGATTCTTGGGGCCCTGTAACCTTGGAACCCTGAAAAATGGAATCCTGAAACCCTGGATCTCGCAGAGAGCGAGCAAACGTGCATCATTTTGATTTTCAAAAAAGCAGCCACTTAGAAATTGTTACACAGGAGTTGCTACACAGAAGTTCAGCTAACTTCCAGGGGATCAAATTGTATGTGAACTCCTGCAAAATCGGACTTCTCCAGTTTTTCTATTTCTCTCTGGCGGCAGCGACAGCCAGGCGGTGGCTTACGAAACGTTACCCTCTGCGGCGTGTCAGACACCCAAACGTGTGGCGAAATGCGGGTCTTGTTTGTCCTTGGGCAACCCTCTGCGAAGATCGTGCATGTCGGATGGGCAGACATGTGGTGTGGTGAAATGCGAAACTTCTTTGCCCGCAGCAACCGTCTGCAGAGATCGCGCGTTTCAAACGCCCAAACATGTGGTGGAATGTGAATTTCTTTTGGGCACGGGCAACCCTCTGCAGAGATCGCGCAGGTCGGACACCCAAACACGTGGCAAAATGCAAATTTGGTGGGGCCCGGCGCAGCCCCTTCGCACGAAATGAGGGTCAACCATCAAAAACAGGTGTAAAATTGTGATTTTGAAAGTTCAGATGCAAGCGTGGCATGAAAGTCAAACGGCAATAACTGTGGGAAATCCGAGATTTTTTAACGTCAGATGCAAACGTTCAAGAATTGGTGTAAAATTGCGACTTTATCTACTTTGGAACGTCAGGCACAACCGTTTCGCGCGAAATAAAACTGGTGTAAAATTGCGATTTTACAAGGTCAGGCGCAACCCTTTTACGCAAAATGATTGTCCAACGTCAAAAAATTGCGATCTTCCAACGCCGGGTGCAACCCTTTCGCACGATATGATGGCCGAACGTCAATAACTTACGTAAAATTGCGATTTTTTGAAGTGTGTAAAAGCTGCTCTGTGGAATCGGTTTTTCTGTGGGAAAGCGTCTGTGTGTAAAGGCTTCTCTGTGTAAAAGCTTCTGTGTGTAAAAGCCTCCGTGTGTACAAGCTTCTGTGTGTAAAGACGTCTGTGTGCAAAAGCTCCTGTGCTCAAAAGCTTCTCTGTGTAAAAGCTTCTGTGGAAAAGCTTGTGTGTGTAAAAGCTTCTGTGTGAAAAAAGATTCTCTGTGTAAAGGCTTCTCTGTGTCAAAGCTTCTGTGATTCTCTGAAAAACCATCTGTGTCTAAAAGCTTCTGTGTGTATAGGCGTGTATATGTCAAAGCATCTCTGGATAAATGCTTCTGTGTGGAAAGGCACCTGTGTTCAAAAGCTTCTGTGTGTAGAAGCATTTGCCGCATCTGTGTGAAGAACCTTTGCGCAAAAGCCTCTATGTGTAAAGACCTGTCTGCGTAAACGCTCGGGCATTTGCGTGTTTAAAGTTTCTGTGTGTATAAGATTGTATAAGCTGCTCTGTGCAAAGGCCTCTCTCTGTGTAAAAGCTTCGGTGTGTAGAAGCTGCTCTGTGTAAACCCTGCTCTGCGAACAAGCTTCTATGCGTAAAAGCGTCTGTGTGTAAAAGCTCTGTGTGTACAGGCGTGTGTGTAAAGCTTTTGTGTGTGTGTGTATTTTTTGTGTGTGTAAGTGCTTCTGTGTATAAAAGATGCTCTGTGTAGAGGCTTCTCTGTGTAAAAGCTTGTCTGTGTAAAGCTTATGTGTAAAAACTTCTTTGCGTAAAAGCCTGGGTGCGTCTGTGTGCAAAAGCTGCTCTGTGCATCTCTGTGTAAAAGTGTCTGTGTGTAAAAGCTGCTCTGTGTAAAGGCCTCTCTGCGTCAAACCTTCGGTCTGTAAGCTCTGTGAACAAGCTTCTATGCGTAAAAGCGTCTGTGTGTAAAAGCTGTGTGTATGTAAAGCTGTTGTGCGTGTAAATGCTTCTGTGTATAAAAGATGCTCTGTTTAGATGCTTCTCTGTGTAGAAGCTTCTCTGTGTAAAGCTTCCGTGTGAAAACCTCTGTGCGTAAAAGCCTCTCTGTGTAAAGGCTTCTCTGCGTCAAAGGTGCTCCGCATAAACGCTGCTCTGTGAAAACAAACCTGAGTGTAAAAGCTGGTCCGCGCAAAGGCTTCTCTGTGTGAAAGCTGCTGTATGTAAAAACCGTTTGTGCACAAAGTTCCTTCCCGCAAACGCTTGTCTGTGAAAAAGCTTCTCTGTGCAAAATCTTCTCTGTGTAAAAGCTTCTGTATGGGTAAAAGCTGCTCTGTTTAAAGGCTTCTCTGAGTAAAAGCTTCTGTGTGTAAAAGCTTCTGTTTGTAAAGGCATCTCTGTGCAAAAGCTTTCTTGTGAAAAGGCTGTAAAAGTTTCTGTGTCTAAAAGCTTCTTTTTGTAAGGCGCGTGTGTGCAAAAGCTCCTGTGTGTAAAAGCTTGGGCATCTGCACGTTAAAGTTCCTGTGTGTAAAAACTTCTTTGTGAAAAAGCGTCTGTGTGTAAAGCTGCTCATGTCTGTTCAATATCAAATATATATATTTTTCGAGAAACATAAACTATTGTGAACGAATCCAATAAATTTGTCAAATCGTGTATAACAAAACATATAATGCATTGCACAATGGTAATTTGCACAAAAAAGTGTATAACAAAACATATAATATGGTAATGTGTACAACAATATAATGCAGGATTCATCGCAGGCATCAAGACCATTGTATATAGACATTTTTTTGAATCATTTTTTCTTTTCCACAATGCTAAACAAAACATAAGTCATGCTTGGAAAGAGACAACATTTCTGCAGAAAATGTGGTTCTTTGGTCAGTCGTGTGTTGTTCACTTTCCAAGCACAGTGTTAAAATCATTGATGAAAGCACATTTCTTGTAAGATTACATTATATATATATAAAAATGTTTTGAAATGTTTTGTTTGACATGTAGCATGACCATCTCATAACTACACCAACTCATGTAGAATGATGCAAAACCTGGTAAAATGAGACCTTTCACCACTCCACCCCATGGTAAGCCGCTCTCTTTAAATTTTGGACTCTAATAGTATGGATCCCTTGGTCCTTGGAGCCAGCACACTTGGAGTTGAAGCTATGAAACTCTAGCGTCATGGATTCGTCTAAGGCCTTGGCCTCTTACAACCTTTGAGCCTTGCTACCCTAGCTGAAAACTGAGAACCTTGTGAACAACTCTGAAGCTCGGAACCTTGTGGAGCTGTAGAGTTGACGCTTTGCTGTGAATCATAAAGCTTTTTCTTTAAATCAACTGAAGCAACTCCGTTGTGTTTTACGTTTGCTTTGCATGGCACTGGTCATTTCGTTGTTGATGAATCAAACCAAGACGCTTACAAGTCTGGAAACATTCCTCTTGGAACCTTGAACCCTGGAACCCCAGAACCCCGGCAATCTAGAACTCTGGAACCTTGGAGCTCTCGAACCCTGCAACCTGGCAATTCTGGAACCCTGCAAAACCTTGGAACCTTGCCTGGTAACATTGCAACCTTGGAATCCTGGAACCTGTTGTTGGGTTGCAAAGCTGGGTTAATTGAACTATTCCGCAAAAGTCACCAATTCACAACAATTGTGATGCATCACGAAAATTCTTGATATAATATGATATATGTATGTATATCTATGTATATATATATGGGGTATATATTGAATTTATATATCGTATTATACAATACTGCCATTCACAGCCCAAACTTCCTCTGATTCTTCAATGCCGCTCCGCCCAGTCTCCTCCGGGGATCTGGCCACCAAAGGCACACCTGGGGTAATAGCACCAGGCCCATAGCCAATACCAGACGTGTGCATCAGCAAGTGTCGCAGCGTCATTGTCTTGCGCAGTGGCTCTGTTTTTTTGCCTCTCTTGACCTTAAGATCTCGTGGAATTTTAATTCAGGCTCATGCGCCGCTGAAAGCGAAGCTAGACAGCAAGTAAAAGGACGTCTTCTAATTAAATCCAAGAAGAATGTCTACATCATATATGATCTCCTAAAGTTAGAACATGCTCTCAATCAAAGTTGCTTCCCTTACAATGTACACGTGCACACAGACAGTGCAGTGCTGCAATCACTCTTTGATGATCGTCAACACTTGAGTGGAGGTTTGCGAAACATCTGTCAGAGGGAATAAGGTAAATTCAACACCGCCAAAAAAACGCCAGCGCACCCGTCACCCGTGAGGGCAACAGAATTGGGTCGCGGTGAGGATGGCGATGCGGTTTCAAGATATGGATGATGATCACAGCCAGGTAGCAGCTATGACAAACATGATTGCACGGATGAGAAGGGGCAGGACACATGATGCAAATTTATTACCCACACTATCAAGGAAGGTGATGGCGAACACTGTGGATTGGATGCTGCCAATGACAAGGAGGCGGGGACGAGGGCAACAAAACAACAAGAATCATTCAGAAGGATACGTGCAATACACGTCCTTTTTCTGCAGGACTGATGGCTCCACCTTTCATAGAATTTCATAGTATGGTGAAGCCGTGAAGCCATTTTTTTTGGCGTGCTTCGTATTGTTTCACATTGCTTCACATGTTGATGTTGTAGTGGTCGGTGGTGATGTTGGTGTTGAAAGTGATTCTGGCATTGATGGTGCGAATAGATGCGAGTAGTATCTATATTAGTGGTTGGTGGTGGCAATGGTGACAAAGCAAAATGCGGCAGAAGATAATGCAAACCAAATAAACAACAATTCTGACCACAATGCCGCTGACCACAATGAACGCAACATGCAACGACTATGACATCTGCTGATGGCATCTGATGGCAGCCAATGACAATGACCCATGAAGACATTCAGCAGGAGCAGGGGGTGAGAGTGGCTTTGTACATCGATTCACAATTTTGAATTTACAGCCGGCCAATGCTACTGCGAATAAAACATGCTAGATTTCGTGATTGACAGCCATTTTATTGCAAAAAGCAATCCTCAGCATCTTAGGTGCGGACTCTTAGGAACTTGAATTTGGGAATGAACTTGTGGACCGGATCGTCGAGCTTTAACATTCCATCATCGACTAAAGACATAAAGGCTGTTGCTGTGATAGGTTTCATCATCGAGTACCTTGGGCTCTCTGAAAGTCAGATAACAGCAAGTAGCGGCCTAATGGCTTGCAACTTTTCATTCCTCAGGCTGCATTTCCCATCTCTGATCATCTCTTTGTCGTGCTTCGCCAAGTAACCCTCGAAACAGTGTGCGCTCAGTCATTCTATGTTTCTTCGTCTTGTCCGTAAACCCGCATAGATTGAGAAAGACTATCTTGCCATCGGAAAGAGCACCCTCGGCGAATCCAGTAAAAACACCATTCTCCTGCCAATTCCGAATCTTGGCGCCGGGATGTGCTGTGTTTTAAGCCCAAAGCGCCAAACCTATTCCATCCTATTCCAAAGCAAGGTCAAGCGCAAGCACCATGATCCAGATCTCCATGGTACAAATCAGATCAAAGCAGTGGCTCGGTGTCCCTGTCCTGGTGTGTCTTGATTCGCTGCTTATGCATCTCCAGAACTTCGGGATCAAAACCCAACTCTTCGGGAGAGGCACGGCCAAAGCCCACCACTGACAACGCTGCGCTCATTCCATTGACAAATGCGGACCTTGCCTTATTGCACTCCATGTCTTTAGTTCTTCCTGTGCTTGTAGCCTAGCTAACGACCTAAACCGGGGTATGTAGTAGTACTATGCATTCATGTAAATATATGTACTTTCCAACTGGAAACCCTCGTGGTCATTCGTGGTCTGGTTTGAACTTTGAACCTTCACTGGTTGGCTTTCATAATGTGGCTTGGATGTGTTCAAACCTGCCCAAGAATCTGCTCACTTCAAAGGTGATCCAAAAATTGCTGTACTCTCCAGGGCCATTGATCAATAGAAGCTGATGTGATGCATAGCTCTTCCTGCAAGCAAGAAGTTCAAGTTGAGCTTGACCGGTGCAAACTGCTCGATCCGGGGCCTAAAAATGAATCTTTGATGCGACCTGACAAGTTGACAATCTTGGCTGATGTCGCAATCAAAATGAAACGAATCTTTCCTAAATGTGGGATCTCTCATGGAAAATGAAATGGATACATTAGCATGTCTTGCAAATTGGTAAGAAAGACTTGTAGCCTGAGAAAACTTTGAGGCTGAAGACATTCATGAGGAATACTAGGGACGCTGCACAGAGAATGCCATGGGATCCATGCATTGATATTGCACGGTGAGCATTTTTGTGATTTCTGCTGGGACGAGGCTGACGTGCCATTGCCATGTGTGGAGCAAACCAGCCAGTGACTGCATCAGCTCAGCTGAGCAGGCTGACCAGGCTGACCAGACTCACCGGAAAATCTGAATCAGAATCAACAAGAAAGGCAAACCAATTCATAAGACAAGAGTCCCAAACAAAGATGACTAGCATGGCCAAACACTAAAACCAAACACATCAAAAAAAACGGACAAAAATGAACCGCTTTGAACTTTGAACCAAGATGAACCAACAGCCTAAGCACCCGTGCGGGCTAAGACTGAGCTCATTTAGTCTTGATGGTTTAGAACCCTTTAGAGAAGGGTTGCAGCTTTTCAAGCCACGAGGTTTCCAGGCAAACTGCATCTCCAGCCCAGGCTCAACTATCTTCAGGCTACCGGTTGGGCCTCAGCTCAAGGTTTATGATTTTGGTAATGTAATGGCATGTAATGGTAGTATATTGGGGGAGTAATGCAATGATATTCAAACATACTCAAAATCAAACTTCTTTCATTCCTTAGTGAAGTCACAGTCTCTCGCGTGTTTACGAGCCTCAAATAAACGCGAGAAGTAGAAGTTGGTGCTGGTCATGTCCTTGCGTGTGACCTTGTGCGGGCTGACTAATTAGTTTACTGAGGTTACTGTGACCAAGGGATGGTTTTGATTCCTGGCATTTCCGGGCCTTGTAACCAGCTGCTTTCAATGCAGCTTCAACATCGGCTTCATCATGAAGATAGGCACCTCACATGTCAGCACACCCTTCACGTGACCTTGTGAGCTCTTGTGAATGGATGGGTGTTTAGACGCTCCGCTTACAAAGGTTGATCAACGTTCGCATAATCGGGCCAAGACAGTCCAAGTCGCGAGTGGTTTTTGACTTTCCTGGAAATAATTCTCCGATCCTCTTCAGGAGAGTGTAGTACCTGGAAGGACTTTAGGAAGCCAATGTAAAGAAGTCTAAACTTGCTCTATTGGAAGGATGAACATGTTCGAAAGAGCACCACGTCTTCGGAGCAAAGGACAGGATCAGTCTCTCTTTGCTGAGCCTGAACATTTCTCTTCAAGAAGATTGCCATATGCTGCTTGTGTCTACTAACAGTAGCATGGTCTTCTCGCTATATAGCTTAGGCTGAGTAGTGCAGCTTAAACAGAGGTCCAGGCCCTGCAAGGTGCTGCACCATGCCAGACATTTTGTCGGGTGGGTAGTGAATGAGAACCTTGTTGTGAGCACTGAATGTGAAGTTCGAAAGAAACAAAGCGAATTCCTGGCCGCAAGGAGATCTGGGCCCAAAGGCCAAAGCAGCAGAATACAATGTCATTTGCTTTTCAGTTTGCAACTCTCAAGCATCTGAACCTAATCTATTGATATCCCTTGTTTCAGCATCTTTCAAGCTTCCCTGTCCCAAGGCACATCCACGCAGCACACCGTGTCGAACTTGCCGTTAATTGCCTGGAGATGCTGGATATTTTCGTCAATCCTTTCCCCACCTACCAAACAAAATAAATGATTGACGCAAACCACAACACAGCAGAAACATGTATATCAAAAGAAGAGCACCAAGGAGATGGAAGGGAAATGGCTTGTGCAGTTATATAAATGGTAGTAAACTCTTGGTAGTAAACCCTGCCTCAAGATCTGAAGTTGAGAACCTTGCAGCTTCACTGTGCCACATGGATGAAATACGACAACATTGCCTCTTATCAAATGATGAACTGTGCTTTTTGGCGCACTGAGCGAAATTGCTAGTGTTGCCCTTCTAAAAGTCTTCCGACATAATGTAAGTTTGATCAAAAACCCTTCAAAAGTCTCATGCTCGGAACTTCTTCAAGAAACAGCAAGAAAGAAACATATGAAAACGATTCGATAGTAAGGATAAATCCCTTTGAGGTGAGGGGCAGGTATAGTAGGTAAGTTGTTTTACTCTAGCAGCTTGAATGACCTTATATCGGAGGCAGATATGATACGAAGATAAAGAGCTTTCTTGGGATGAGGAAAACTGACAGTGGGGACGCTTAAGCAGTTCCGATACCGTACCCGACAGTGTGCCCGAACGTGTGGGTGCAAGTCATGTAGCAAAATCCTAGACCAGCTATCAATGGTGAAATCTGTTCCCAATAAGTTGTGTGAACTCTACTGCCTGACTGCCGGCGAAACGAGAATGCATCGCGGCAGACCAACGGCTGGAATGAGTTTGCCCATGGACTTCTGCATGGTAAATAAATGTAAATAAGGCATCCATCAATTTTTGTTCTCACAAGAAAGGCGCCATGACCAGTGAAAAGAATAGAATTGCCAGCTATGAACATGTCAAACTATATCATATCTCAGCATCCAAATTCTTGGAGCCAAGAAGCTTTGGCATCTGTTCAGCTGGAAGTGTCTCCTTCGCTCTCACTTCTGCCTGTAAAGTGTGTTTCGACATTTTTTAAGATGGAAACTGTATGAAGTGTTGCAAAACAGGTTGAACCATGTTGAACCCTCTCTCAACGATGATCTTTACAGCTTGGATGTTGGTCGGCACTGCAAATTTGCTTTCAGCACACACTTCAAAGCCAACCTGTTCCAACGCAAATACCCAAATGCCGACCTTCTTCAAACATTTCATTCAATTCCTTTTCGCTGCAATTTGCAACTTAATCTTTCTAAGTTTGATTGAGAATATCCTAGGATCAGTGAAGATGCCGCATTCGGAGAAAGTTTCAGCCCTGGAACATCTTGCACAATCTTGCACATATTCACTATCCTCTTGGCAATTCCGTGTGGTACCTTAGTGTCCCCGAATTTGTCATTGTAAAAAAGTGACACCCAGCTCAGTTGCCTCTGCATCTCTATAACATGAAAATGCCTAGCCCTGTTGAACTTGTAAAACCAACAAGTACTGGATCGCCCAAACAGACCAACAGCACGACAGAATCTAATTTGGTCACTGGGTGACGGCGTTTTAGCAAGACAGTATCGGTGTGCGCTTGGTGACTTGGTCATTTGGTTTATGATTGTGTTTCGTGATTTTGTGGAACCCTCCTTTCCCTTCTTTCCCTGCTCCCTTCCTCCCTCCCTCCCTTCCTTCCTCCATTCCTTCCTGCAAGTCTGGTCCACAGAAACAAATCTTAACAAAGTCATCCAAGAAAAACGCCCCTGTTTGGGGAAACTCCTCCCTTTTTGGAAACCCGGTTGTAATTTTGCTCTTCCTCCCTGCCACTGTTCTTGTTCCTTCCTGCAACAACTCGTTTGGCGAGCAACCTTTTTCCACAGAAGAAATGCCACTGTTCAGGGCTGTCTCCTTATGTGGGAGACTAGTCACTTGCAAGTTCAAAACACATGCCCGTGTTCGGGCTATCCTGCCCTGTTCGGGAGAACGGTTGAGGTTTTCCCGCCCCAAAACTTTGGCAGGATGTAGATAGCCCAAAAAATCGAAAGCTACCACTTTTACGACATGCCAGTAATGCGCACATTCCATAGACATGCATAGTCTATAAAGTCAAAGCCTCTGACCTTATGAGCCGCAGCCCTTTCAAAAGACAAGCGCGCAGGAAAACAAATTCCAAGGGCACATCAATTACCCATATACATATACAATTACTCTATAAGATCAACTAATCAACCCCTTGCAATATAGAACTGCTCAATTGAATTCAATTGATATCCATTACCAATTCGTGGCACGGAAACCTAACTTTAAAAACTGTGTTTATTTAATCTATTGGTAGGGACTCTAACACTGTGGATTTGAATGTGGGTATTGGCAAGGGGGTTATTCATGCATGTATTCTTAGGTGTAGCACTATACGCATGACTAATTACAACTATTTTACATCTGCAGTGGACACATATGCTTCTAGTACGCAGGCCTTTCCATTCATTGAGTATTCAAACCTCGATGGCTGCCTTTGGTTTGCTACCCGCGCTTCTTTGTTGTTGATCCGAAACAAGGAAAAACATGGAAAAACAAGAAAGCTCAGCGACGCCTTCATATCAACACAGCCACGTGTGACTTGTCCCAGCGGAAACTGAACATAGAGAATATGCTTCCATGAGAAGAGACATTCAAGCCAAACCTAGGAATCAAATGGAATGAAAATGGAAACATCAACTTGCACTTGCTGTACATGGCACTATGCTTCCGGGGTTTCTTCGCAAACACTCTGAAGTCTCAAAACCTGAGTTGCTCTAAAGATTTTCAAAGTCTTTGCCCTCGATGCCTCTGTCTGCAAGCTGGTGAAGAAGTGTTCTAGCATGTTCTAGCAAATATTTCCATACCTTCTCCCTGTCCTGCTACATGCACATTAGGAGTTCAAGCTGGCACCTCTCCGACCATGGCTGAGCTGATGTCGCTTCCATGGACCTAGCATTCTGCCAATGTTTGCCGATTGGTACTTTCTCAACTTATCACTGCCTTTATACACTTTATACATACATCTTTATACTATTGTATACTGTATTCCGATGTATTCCGATGTATTCCGTATACCTTTGTCGCCTTTGTCTTTTTAGTTTTTAACTCTACAAAAGTCTCCTGGGATTTGGACATCTGCTCCGCGGCTTGCCAACGGGATGGAGAGATTTCCAGTGCCGCACCTAGTAGATTTCCGCAGGATATGTCAGTTAATCAGACTAGTAGACCTACTAGCATCATATTGGGGTGGTGTGGACAATCAGTGTCAAAAGAAAATTGAAGATGTAATTTCCGCACAAAAATGCACAGCTGGATTCGGAGTTGCTGATGTTGCTAGCAATTTGTGCGCTGGAGAAGCAATTCAGTTTGACACCCAGCATCACAAACGCTCTTGCCAGAGACCATGGCAGGGTCCTTCAACATATTCTGGTGAGTGTAGCAATGTGTAGAGACCCAGCTTGTCCACGAAATTCTCTGAATCAGCCAAAACTGAATATTTTCAGGACAACATGTGCTCCAGCCACTTCAAGATCTTATCCACGGTCTCTGCATGGCCCACTCGGATATCCTTGAAATCAAGACTTTTGTCACAAAAAGAAAGCGTGAAGCATTTGCAGCACATCTTACTTGGGAGCGGTGAGAGACTTTACGCTGAGTGACTTTTTGCACGGGATTCACATCATCTGTCTCACCGTATATCTTCTGCCATCTCTCAAAGCCTGCACACGTGTCGTCCAATCAGAAAGCACTGCATGTGTTGCAGGAATTTGCAAGAATATTTCATTATCTTTCACATCAATTTGTCCAGTTTCGTCCAGTACAATTTGGACTTGGCCAGAATCTCTGCTGTCTGTTCCATTGCGTGGCCTGCATTGTTGAAGTATTCTGTGACGACCTCAGCCATTGCACGATACGTTTGTGAATGATCATGTCATATGATATCTGCCGAAATGAATCATTTGAGCCATGTGACTTTCATCGAAGGAAATTGAAGGAAAGGAGTATGTGATGGATTCTGTGCAGAATAGGTAGGAGATCATGGCAGTTTCAAAAGGCTGGTTCATCCTCTTACATGACAGGGTGTTTCAGAAAGCTGGCGTGCTGTCTTCTTGTAGCAAGCAACTCATCTAAACTAGACAGGATTGTACGAGGTTTGGTACAATAAGAAATCCAGCATCGGAGATTCTGTTGAATTTGCCAACAGAATCGCCTCTGCACGCTTTAAGTCATTCAGAATTTTCCTCTCTGGGTTCTTTCGCAAGCTCAGCCGTCGGCTTTCTTGTCGTCAACGTTTTCTTGTGCTTCTCCTCCGAACCTTGACTAGTGCGGCAGTCAAAAGGGGAACCAACGAAATGATCCGATGATTAGCCAATCTTGAATATCAGGTGGACAACCAGTAATGAGAAGCACAGCAAATCGCCCAAATTGCTGGATGTGAGGACCAGGCACAAGAGCACCCACTCCAGCCAATGCGACAAGCAGACCAGCAACAAAGAAAGGTAACTGGCAAGGACACAACTTGGCATACATAGACGCCCGCAACCGACATCAATCAACAAACCGCTTTCAGTACGCACTACGAGAAGTCACGCTGTGCCAATGAAGGACGTTGAGGTAAAGTCAGTAGACAAGCAACAAACATCATGCGACACATCAAGCTTAAGAGTTCTTTGCCTGGGAATCGCCTTCCTCGGCCAATGCCTTCCAAATTCCAACGATCTTGACAAGGAGTCTATTCTGAGTTGCCATGTGTTGAGCTTAGACGTGCTTTATATCATCTGAACGAATTTCCACGAGACATCATGCTTAGTTCATGTTTTTTGCTAATGTACTTTGCGCTTCCCTCTTGACGAGTGACGTTATGGGACTTGCTAAAGTTTCGCCATTATTCAATATGTTTCAGTATCACAAGTTTAAAGATGTTTAAAGATCTTAAAGGTTCTTTTCGGCGACAAATATCTTCAGGATGCGGCGTATGGGCGTATGGTTGGAAATGCAGCACACTTTTTCCTTTGTCTCGCTTATGTCGGCGCAAGCTTTCTGCGCTTCTTCCGCTGTTTGGGAAAAAGGCATCCCAAGACACCCGCAAACGCCTCACGGTTCGAACAAGGCTTCAGCTGATACACTCAAAAGAAACATGCTTTCATCATCTTTCATCAGTATCTCCCCGTCTTTGCTTTTGTAATCTTTTGTAACCACCCGGCACACTAAGGGCAAAGCTCCAGATACCAAAGCAACGCTCATCAGCAGCACCTGGAAGTTCTTTTGTGGGGGATAGAGAAAAAATATTTGCAAACTTAAATAACTTAAGTTCCTTGCCCATTCCAGATGCTGTTCTTGCCATTGGTCACCCTGCAGGTGTGCATTGGTTGCCAATCGATGCAATCCAAGCCTTCCCAAGTGGAGAGAGTATGAGAGTACATTATGTAGTGTGTGTACTGTCTTGTGAGTCAGGCCACTGTGGAGTCTACTTCGCAGGGTCTGGTCAACATGTGTCACCGACCAGATGTTGCTGCCACAAAAGCACAACCATGGCCCACGAAGTCTTTTGAATAGGCAATCTGACTTCAACTTCCAAGAAAAAGGTGATAAAATTAAGGATGAGAAGTCTTTTAAAGCATTCAGAATTGACAAGAAACCCTATATCGTCTAGGCAGTCGGCGGTCAGGGTTTCATGGGGTCAAAAAAATCAAAAAGAGCTGAGGGATTCTGCAGATTCCCAGCGTCTTCTCACCTCCTCCATGCGTTGAGAGTGGATTGCACCTTTCAGCGACCTAAGGTGATGCAGCGCAAAGTCGAACACCGTGTGTCGTGTTCTTAGATTCAAAGGAAAACTTTTCGTTACATGATATTACAATATATTACATGCCAGATTGCCGGGCCAAACTGCCCAGGATTCAATTCGTCAACCTAAGAGGGCTAATATGAGCTATATAGTGGAGCTATACTGCAGCATCTGCGCTGGGCCAGCAATCAAGGCACCATCTGCTGTCTAGCTCGGGCGGGATGTTGAAACCGGCCTGGAAAGATCTGAGAACTTCAGGGACTCTGCGATACTCCTTGATACCATGTCAATGTGGCAGTCTTGTTTTGTGCTCTCGGAATGTTCTCAGGCTCTCACCGCGGCAAGGCTTGCAATGTTGTTGTAGCCTGCCTGCAAAATCACTAATCATGAAATGGTCGAAGATGTATATACAGTTTTTTTAATATATATATACTTATATAATTATATATATTAATATATATTATAGTTATTTATATTTATAATCATTTATAAATACTGTATTATGTATATAACATTATATACTGATGTATGACATTGTTAGAAGTTAGAACCATCGCTACGAATTGATACGCCCTTGTACAATCTTGTATACAGGTGCAACATGGTACAGCACTTTGTAGGACATCTTACACACCATGACTCCACCCGTGGCCTTAGAGCTCCGAACTTCAAAGGCTCGAAGAATCAACGGATGCTGCTGGGCCTTGGGCGAATCCGTGGCGACAATCGAACCAGGAGCAGCGATCAGAGGAAGAATAAAAAAGGGCTCAAGTGAGGTCGGAATAGGTCGGAATAGGTCGGATATGAGTCATAAAATATGAGGTCCAAGCGAAGTCCCCATGAGTCATTCTTTCCCAAAGAGCACTGCGCGACTGAGGTAAAGCAGCTTCTTCATTGTCCAAATCGGGACACGGGGCTGATGCTTCTTGTGGGCAGCAATTGTTTAGCACATGGCGCATTATCAACGGCATTGGTGTCTCTTATCATGACATCGCTGGTAAAAAAAAACTGAGCTCTCTGCACGTGGAATGGAGATCCTGATGCACTTGACCTCGGCGGGTTGAATCTGGCTCACCTCCAGGTTCGCACATGAACAAGATCGTGTTTGAATGCAGGGCACTCCTCCACGTGTCTGGTGCTGTCGAAATAAAAGCATCACATATCAAAAATTGTTTCATAGCAACAACATGTCAATGTCTCAAGACAGTGCATGATGCTGGACGAAAAAGGCAACCAAGTTCTGCAGTAATACTGCCCTAACTGCAAGATGTTTTGCACAGCGTGCCCTGGATTGCTGGGGCAGGAACAGCATTGACATATCGGGTGTTGTTGCTCTTCCAGAAGACCTGATCTACTTGAGCGGAACATAAACCACCAAATATATAAACCGTCATGCTGTTTTACGTTGTTTTATGGTATCTTTATGTATGTCTACGGTCTATTGGACAAACAACGGCGCACATAGTTTCCATTCACTAATCAGCACCCTTGGCCAGGCAAGGATTGAAAGAGAGAACACGAGCGACAAAGTGACTGGTGCGTGCGCTTGACTGTTTCAACTAAAACTCCCGCCACTCAAGACAATAACACAAACTTTCAACTTTCCCAAAAGCATCCAAAAGCAATATTCTACGCTAGAAGCAGGCAAGTCTGTATCGCCTAAAGGCAAGGCCCCAAAGATGCCATTCAACTAGCGCACAGTCTTTTGGTAGTCCTTCATCTGTCTGCAGCTGGGTTTGGGTACTCTTCAAGGTGGGTGACAGTAGTGTGGGATGCGTTGGTGCAAATACTATTGGCTAATTGCGTAGTGCCGCTCTGAACCCAAACCTGTGGAAAAATGATGACACAATTGCAATCTGCACTTAGCCTGTGCTGCCATGGTCACCCGATGTCACCCGTCTTTTGTGTCAGGGCCCAAACACAGCCCTGTCACGCAGAGTTGAATGAGAGTCCTGGCATCTACGCTAAAACATGGACCGATGGACCGAACCGTTGGAGATATTTCATGTTGCAAGATGTTGCAAGAGACCCTGGCTCTGAAACGACAGGCTCTACTGACTCTACTCTTTAGGTTTTGCCGCAGTTGATTGTGCTAAGCGTAGGGTTTCAATTGTAAAAGTCGCTGTGATGATATTCAAACAACCTTGCGGCAGTTAGCACGAAGTCATCTCAAGACCAAAAGCAGAGACATAGGCATAGGCAATCGCTGCAAGCGCAAAGGCACTTTAATTGGCAGGCATGTGCAGCATGCACAAGCCCGCAGGCTCTCAGAACAGCACAGAGTCGTCCCATTCATGTCTCTTCATTCAAGCACCCCTACGCGTGTATTAAAAGGAAATGCGTCAAAATCGTGATTACGATCTCTCCGACAAACAGGGTAAATGCGTGTAGTAGATCATGTCATATCATACCGTAGATCAACTGTATCATTCAACACTGGAAACTCATGACTTCCATCATTGCAGCACTGTAGCCAAATGCTTGCGAATGACAAGAACCAAGATCTGAGCATTGTACTTCCCGCCCAGCAATGTTGCGAACTTTGAAATACTTTCTGCATCCAACTTCCTCAGGTTGTTCTGCGTCGCACGGTGCTGGCCTTCAAGTGATTCTTGTTCCTGGACTAATTCTGGTCCGGACATGCATCGACATGCTTGGACAACTTAGTCACAGACACCACCCATCAACTCCATTTGACCTTGACCAAACAACCTAAGCGACTGTCTGCGGGCATCAAACGTCACATGTAAATGCCAAACAAAAACACAGCACGAACCGAATGAAACCTGTCTTTGTGAGGCTAGTACAATTCCGCATCATCCAACGCGTGGGCAAATTCATCATCAGGAGACTCATCCTCACTTTGCTGTGAATGCGGCTGCATTGTCTCTGTGTTCAAAGTTGGCCTGTGTGAGTCTCTCTTGCACCTGTCATGTATGCATATCTGACTGCGGGTTGTCTCTTGCAATTGCTCCCTTTGTAATTCTGGAGAGTTGACTCAGAGCGGCAGTAAGGACTCATGGGACGAGGTGTGAGAGCTCCTGTGCCTTTATGTGTTGTGCATTTTTGCACAATGTTCTGTCCTACTAGAGGACTTGCTGAGTGGCAGTACAACTGCGCAACATACATGCCACAATTTGGCGCAAAGGTGGATGACATGCTGAGAACGCGCAAAATACACAATCTGATCCAAATGTCTCAGCTCATGCAAGTTATGAAAGCAAAAAAAAACTTGCATGTTTAAGGAAGACATTGGAAAACCTGAATTTGATATTGCTCCTGAGCTTTCATGTGTGAAAATCATGAGAAGTACAGTAGAGGGAAAGGATGGGAAGCCTTTGACTGGATGCTTTCCCGATGGTTCAGGCTTAAACTCTGGTGCCATGGCATGCCCCTCTAGCGCAAGGATATGGGACACGCAAGCAATGGCCATAAACACACGCACACAAAACATAACATTAGAAAAGACCCAGCGAGCAGGACACATCTGGCGGTTGATCTAAATTCCTTTACCTGCAAACGGCCATTCTTCGCGAATAAAAAATAACTCTTGCGAATCTTTCGCGAACCCCGCGTTCATCTTTCCCGGGGGTCTCATGTTAAGATCTTTCGTTCGCTAGATCTTTCGCCCAAAACAGAATTACTTTCGCGAACTCATAAAAAACTTTCGCAGGGTCTCATGTTGGAACCCTGGGGGCCTTTGTAATGGGCAATCTCTACATGGACCTTTAGAGCGACAATCAATCTACAGTAATCGCAATTGCAGAACCATTTCGCCAAGCAGGGACAAGCGGACGACAGATTCACAGCTTGGTCACTATCTCATGTAGAAAAGGAGAAAAAAAGGTGTATTAGTATAATAACATATAATAACCTCATAAGCAATGCAGCCTTCGCAGTAGAGAATCAATTCAAGAGGCATGAGAGCTGTACATCTCCAGAACCGGTTCATTCACAGGCTGCATGTCTCCCCATCCAGAAAACACATATTTGGGCACACATCAAACATTTCTCTCAGGGCTCCTTTCTACGATGAGGGAAAGTCAAGTGGTGCAATGCAAGCTCTTTAGCCAAGCTAGCTGGAAAGTGACATATTTCGGCTACTTATAGTTACTTATAGCTACGTGTACTTCTGCAGCATCATGCAAAGCAATCCATGCATCCATCTCAAATCATCTCCATATGCCTCTAGCAGTCTAGCAGTCTAGCGGCTTCTGCTACAGGCGGCCAAGATACAGGAGCTTTGTCCTTGCAACTGTCGCCGCTGCATGCTGGCGGCTTGACCTGAGCCATCTTCCAGCACGCCAGAGTGCGCAAAGTGTCTATTCTTACGACTTAACTCAAGCAGAAGGAGCCTGCTTCAGCAACTTCAGCCCAAATAGTCATGGTTCCAGAAACCAATGGCTGCATGCACCCAATTCAAAAAGGCAATTGCCTGCCATAGCGAGGACAAATTCGAAATCCCTAAGCAACGCCAAAACAAGGCTATCCTGATTGCTATCTAGCTCAAGGCTGCAACTGTGCCACCCATGCGCAAGCTCACGATTTCTACCTCATAGCACAGGAGCCTTGCAAACATTCAACAACAAGCAGATTTACCTTGCTCGTGGCTGCTAGTGAAAATCTTGCATCTTGGGTTGGTATTAATTCCTCAGGGCATGCAAGGCATCGAGTCGAGAGATCCGTTTCAAGAGCCGACGTACTGCAGAAGAAGTCTCTGCAGGTCTGTGCTGTAGACAGGAGATGCAAACAAACTGGTTGAGAGTTCGTCCAGTAGACACGGCCATTGCAAAATTCCATGTAGGAAGAAGAAAACTGAGGACATGTGGATTTGGGTCCCGACATCTTGCGCGGCATCAAAGACAATCTCAAACCAGAGGCCCTTGTGAGGTGACCCAGCTTGTATAGTGTATGTATTGTGCATGTTACCACAATTTACCACATGCACCAGCATGAGGCCAAATGTCTGGGCCTTACTTGTCATGACCTGCTCCGCTTTGAAAAGGGCTTTGCAAGTACCATCGATCTGGCGCAAAGCAATGGTACAATGTACTCATCAACTCATAAACTCATGGATCATTTGGCTGAACATGTTCGCCATGTCTGAATGTAGAGTACTGTAGTGCATTCTTGCTCTCAGGCTGTGGCCCAACCGCAATCTCGGTTGCACCAACTTGCCCCATGCCCTCTCAGTTGCAGAGCGTTTCATGTCTATGGGCACTGACAGTGGACAGTGGACAGGCATGCGCAGGCTCTTACAGGCAGCACAAATATTTAAAAAGAAAATGGGAAAACATGAAAACAACACAGAACCACAATAAAAATCATTAAAAACCAGCAAGAACCCAGGCTTGCACTGTTGCTCCTTGTGGGCAGTGGCTACAACTCTTTGCGGTGTGCCCTCCACATGTGACCTGGCGAGTTATTCCAGGTCATGGAATGTCTAAACTGTGCCTTCAACAGAGCCTCGCTGCCACTGGTCTGGGAGCCGTCGTAAACAGACTGCAAAATGTCCTGGCGGATCCTCGCGACAAGTGCCCGAAGCAAACAAAGGCTACATTGCCAATAGACGGGCCTGCAGTCTTTGGCATCAGAAGCCATCATTTCAATACTAAAAACGCAACAACACATTGTTCACTGAGAGCCAGGCTCAACCATGTTTGTTCGAAGTGTTCCAGGAGGGTTGTCAAAAAGTGAATCCACAATGGGATTCTTCTTGAAGAACTCCTCTACAGCTTCAACTTAAAAGTCTTGTGGCTTTGTGGTGTTTCTGAATTTCAGCGACAATTTCATCTTGTTGACGATCAAGAAGAGGAATCAAAAGGTCAAACACAGCAAACAATTGATTTCAATAGCAATTCAACAGATTTCAACAGCCTCAAATTCGAGATCTCAGCAGACATGCAGCAAAACACACAATTGGAGTATTCGACATCTCATCTTCGACTGCTTCAGATCAATCCAGCCTCCTGAGCCCTCTGCACCTTGCCCTCCAGTGAGGAGACGTCTCCAAGATGCTCCAAGAGAGCCTTTGCAAGGATTCAGGTCCAACCTCATCAGGATTTAATATCTACAGATATTTAATGTAATTAATGTGCACATAAGGAACCAACCGCTTTCACATACTTTCACCATCTTTCACCTACTAGTACTTTTACATTCTTTGATTCTTCAACATATATACGTAATTTTAGTATGCACTAAAAACACATCTCTAATTCATGGAAAACCGTACCCTTGAATTCCCCAAAGTCTGGTACACTCTCTAAGGCATCTTGGAATTAAAATTCGCCTCAATCGCGTCATTGTGGCCAAAGCCAAAATGCATTTAGAAATATGGAATTCACGTGGCTAAAAACTTGCGCCGCCAGAAAATACACCTTCTTCCGTGCGCATTTTTGGTCTCCAGGCACGGCATATTTAAAATACACCTGTCCCAAAGTGTATTTTTGGTGCTTTGACGTTGTGTATTTTTTGCATATGTTTGGTGCATTTGCGATGCGATTTTTACTAAAAAGTGTATTTTTTTACGCGTTTGGCACCTGTGTCTCGCCCAGGCGTATTTTTTTTACGCCTTGGGCACCTGCGTCTTGTGCAGGTGTATTTATTTTACGCGTGTGTGGAAATCGGACTTGCACGTTTACTGCGAGTGTATTTTCTTACCCGCACATTGTGCATTTTTTTTGGAAAGTGCATTTTTGGACTGCACCTGTGGAAACAAAAATCACATTTTTGCTGCAAGTGTATTTTGGCAGCACATGTTTTCCTAAGGTCAAGCGTACTTTTAATTGTTTTAAGATAGTTAGAGTCTCTACCGGGTTTGGGGAATTCAACCGTACCCCATTGCAAGAATATGCAAGGATTGTGTTATACGCTGAAAAACTGTCAACATCAAATCTTCCATTTATATCCATTTATCCATTTCACGAGTTTGCAGAAAGTGTAAAAAGGCGTTGCAAGTGCAAGGCAATTGCCCCTTGGCCTGATGTTTCTGATGTTGTAACTTCACATCTGGTCGATCCCGTTTCGCTGCATCGGTGCCTGTCACGTCAAGATATATATATATATTTATTATAATTTTCTGCAGCCGACAACTTCTCAAATCGCTCCGACTTTCAATCAAAGTTGAACACCAAGTAGAATCGATTTGAATCCATGAAGTGATCAAATCAAATCCACTCAGATGCGCAGAAACTATACGAGAGAAGCAAAATTCAACACTTTATTTAAAAGCCAAGCTTCCCAAGTAGATTGACTTGGGCGCAGTCTCATTGCCCACGATATCAATGAAGTCCCAGAAAATGGAGTCTGCAGGAGCCTCTGGAAACATCACCAGAATCTCCTTATGTCGGAACGGTAGAGCTATGAAGCTCTGAGCCAGAAATGACATGAAATAACATTGAAATAACCAGATCCAAAGGCCCAACACCTCGCTCATTCTTCATGTTGGTTCCAATCGATTAGGAACGCCGGAACAAACCCGAAAATATGATTAAAAACATGATGTAGGGCCAATGTGGGCACCAAGCTTCTCTCAGTCTGGGCAGCAAGCGAGACCGCACAAGCTTTCGTGCAATTCCAAATAAGTTGTCGAATTCGATCACAATCCAGGGAATGTTCTCGGAGTCCAAATACTCAACGAAGCGCTGCGCATGCTTCGGATAGTCTTGCACCAGGACACTATCTAACTCCACAAGCATGAAACTGTCACTCAGGGGTTCGACAAAAGCTGTCAATAAAGCCAAATCTATGCTGTCCGTCCTTGCAGGTGGATCAGGGTACAGGCCTCCGGCAGGGTCCAGGATATGAAGAAATCTTCTGTCTCCAACCTGCAAAGACCCCCGAAGATGATGGAGGAGTTTCTGCAAAAAATCTTGCCGTCTTTCCAACGGATTTCTCGCTTGGGCAACAAGAACCGCCACGGTGGCATGGCCAGCAGCACTAGCAACTAGTTGTTTGATTGATGTCGCAACAGCAGCAGCGTCCAAATCAGGTTCGGCTATCACACCGATTGACATTCGGCTTTTCGTTCTGCTCTTCACTGAGCCATGTTCTCCATTGGATTCTCCATTGGATTCTCCGTGCTCTCTTGGATCGTTTGCAGGGCCTAAGTGCCGAACCAAAGCCTTGTCAACAAAGGAAATTCCAGGTTGGAGAAAACGCCAATCGATCGGAATTTTCTCACGCGGCCTACCATTCTTGCAGACAGTTGCTGCCCTGGTATATGTGGCCGGCTCTGGCAAAGGCTGAGTTGTCAATACACTTTGAGGTGACGAGTCTATCAAGCTCACCAATGCCAAATCCATGATGAGGATGAAGGTGAGGCTCCAAGGACCAAAGCAGCCAAGTGAATTCGTAATCTGACCAAGCCCACTCTTGCTAAGCTGCCAAAAGGCAAGCCACGCAGCACTGCCTGCAAGGAATCCCAATGCTGCCGCTTCCAAGGCATGCTGAACAGCGTACGATGCAGGTTCGGCATGCCTCCGAGGTTGCAGAAACCCTGGTGATGCGTGTGGCTTGTCAAGGGCCTTGTCAACGGCTTTGCTGGTTAGCAGTTCCGTGCGTCCCATGTGTTCCACTTCTATTTCTCGGATTGCTATCCACTCCTTCTGCGGCCTGTCAAGAGTGACTTCTAGACAGCGAGTGCCGTGCATCGTTCCTTTCCACGTTTCCTCAGGTTGTGTAAGTTCCTTCAACTTCTGCGGCTCTTGGCAACTTACCAAGTTGGAGGATTTCAAGGAGCCTTGCTTGATGAAGTCATTCTCATGCCCTCGACGAGCCTGCTTGACAGCAACCTTTATCTCTCCTTGCACTGGCTCATCAAATATCACTCCTGAAGATGACCCTTCAGTCAAATGACTCCCACCATCTCCCACCAATAGGTCCCCACGAACAGGTCAAGCATCTTGCACACACATTCTGAGAATGTACAGTAAGTATGTTGAACACGCCCTAATCCAGTCAAGAACCATAGCAACTCGCAGCAATCTGGAGTGGTAGTAATGCGAAATGGCATCGAATGGCATTGATACTTTGTGATGCTCTATCAAAATTGATCGACTGCTTTACCATTGCGTGATTCTTTTTTGGATAAAGCACTACACCTGCTCGGAGCTTACGCTTCTGGTCTGTGGCCACCACAGGATAACAAACAGGGGGGAAAAGTGCAAAACTTTGCTGAATGTCTGATTCCCCAGGTTCTGATGAACTTGCCACTTTTACATGACAAGTCATTCTTCTGACTACAGGTATCTGAAGTCCAAAATCCCAATGGATCGCCGGGCGGATAGATCAAATTGGCCTTGAAGGCCTGTCCCGAGAAAGCAAACGATCTGGCAATGCGACGTGAATCTGTCGTGACCGTGGCCTGAATGTAGCATACTTTCTGGGTCAGATCGGAACCTTTTGTGAAGGGGTCCAAACATTTGCTGTTGTGTCTGCAACAAGCAAACTCCGCAAATAAAGCAATGCTTTTTGCAGCGGACTTTGCAAGAGGAGCTTGTAGCCAATGTGCATTTCTTGGTTGGGGCAATCCATCGAACATATGAGTGTCTCGTTGGTCAATGGTTTGAGTTTGAAACCATTGCTAGTAGAAGAGAAAGTAGTCCGGTAGGCTTAGCGATGGTCTGACTAATCAGTTTATCTGAAACCTGGCTGCGCCAATTCAACGGCACTTGAGAACTTCAGGACTTCCCACTTCTAAAGCGGTATTGAGCACAACTCGTGTGGACAAATCAAACGACAAACAGTCTCAACACTCTGCGGGTATTTTTCTCAATGTTGGGCCATGTCGGGTCTATATTTGACAGATCTTGACAGCTTAGCATAGCCGATTTGTTTCTTGTGGCCTAAACTCCCGAATACTGAGCCTTACAAAGCAAACACACATATGTTTTCCTGTTTTATGAACATTTTTGATGTGGGGAAAAACTTACGCGCGGCCAAAAGCAGGCTTAGTCATCGGGTTTGTGTCCTATCAAACAGCTCTTTGGGCCCAACATGGCCCCGTAGATAGCGCAACAAATCCCATGTGGTTCGTGCCTGGTGGGCTTGCATGTTGGAGATCACGTTCGCTTCCAGAAAGCCATCGACCACTCCGTTCTTGCCAGGCCACAGCTTCTTCAAGTCTGGTGCTCCCTTGGCACGCTGCAAAACAATCTGTCTGTGTTGTATGAGCCAAGAATGCTTCATAAGTCTCAGTTTTAGATTTCTTGCAATCGATTTCATGGCAACTTCCCAAAGCAAGGATTTGGTTGTCGGCAGTCTTAGTGAAATGGGTGGGTTAGAACTTGCGTTTTCCCTTTGTCCAACTTGGGTAGCTGCTAGGCCTGTAGATCGCGATACGTAGAGTCCAGCTCGTTTATGCACATACTATCCTACATCATCTTACATCATCTTACATCATCTTACATCCTCGATTTGTTGCGCCTTGGCACTTCGACAGATCCCGAGTTTCTGTGATCATGACCCATTCTACGCATTTCTACGCTGTTTCTCCTTGGTTTCTGCAGGGCAAGTGACAGCCGAAACCGCCGAAACCCTGCCAAGCTGCTGGTGGACTCGAAAAGATTCGTGGCCAGGAGGAATTTAGATAGTAGGGCTGGATGTCATCTCTCATGAAACCCAGCTTTTTTATAGCTTCAGGGCCTGTTTGTTCAGCTTTCTGACGCTTCTCAATCCTTGGTCAAATAGCTTTGTGATCAATGCTCGTTTCGTACCAGCTATTGCTGGAGACTAGCTTTCCTGATCTCTTCATGACAGTTTCAAACAACTTTGACCACAACTAGTACCCCAAAGATCTCTAACTCTATTGATATTTTTTCGTCTCTATAGATATCTTTAAGTCTATAAGTATACAATATTATGTAAGTACAGTACGAGTACTCTTCCTCATGAAATTTCTATTCCAGGAGAACCGATTTCATGGAGGTCTTCCAGCTGTTTGATGCTCCGTCCGCAAATTCATTGTACAAGGGCTGGTACATGTACTCTCTAGGGAACAAACGTATCCACTTTTTTTGTGGATTTTTTTTTGGATACGTTAGCTGCTGTGAACATAGGCTATGATAAATGCCCTATACTTGAGACATGTTAGTTGAAAATCCAGAATGGACATATTAGTGGAAAAGTTGTCCCCCCCTCTGGGGGTTCCCGGGAAACTGCCAGAAGACTACCGCCCCGGACGCCCCAGCATCCTTATTTCCAGACCCCAATAGGGCTCAAATCAAAGGCTGCATTGATAACAAAACGGTGGAGAAAAAAGGGGTCCCAACTCCTTCCGGAAGAGCGCATCATAGATGATGCTCGTAGGTGGGCAGGAAGATTGGGGGTGCATTCAAAAAACCAGTTGCATTTAGTAAGGGTTGGATGACTGGCCATGGAAAGCGTCCACCTAACGTGTCCGTGTTGTTCAGAGGATGTGGTTTTGAGATATGTGAGTGGTTATTGGCTGAATCTATCCCCCCAAAATAGCGAACATATCCCAGATCAGGGCCGAAATCCAAAGGGCCCCAATTGCAGGAACTGAGACATGTTAGCTGTTTTTGGGTCAATGGTCCCAAAAAAAGTTGCAATACATTCCCCAGGAAGCCCGAGACACGTATCCACTTTTTTTGGTGTTTTTTTTTGATACGTTAGCTGCTGTGAACATAGGCTATGATAAATGCCCTATACTTGAGACATGTTGGTTGAAAATCCAGAATGGACATATTAGTGGAAAAATTGTCCCCCTCTCTGGGAGTTCCCCGGAAACTGCCAGAAGACTACCGCCCCGGACGCCCCAGCATCCTTATTTCCAGACCCCAGTAGGGCTCAAATCAAAGACCGCATTGATAACAAAACGGTGGAGAAAAAAGGGGTCCCAACTCCTTCCGGAAGAGCGCATCATAGATGATGCTCGTAGGTGGGCAGGAAGATTTGGGGTGCATTCCAAAAACCAGTTGCATCTAGTAAGGGTTGGATGACTAGCCATGGAAAGCGTCCACCTAACGTGTCCGTGTTGTTCAGAGGATGTGGTTTTGAGATATGTGAGTGGTTATTGGCTGAATCTATCCCCCAAAAATAGCGAACATATCCCAGATCAGGGTCGAAATCCAAGGGCCCCAATTGCAGGAACTGAGACATGTTAGCTGTTTTTGGGTCAATGGTCCCAAAAAAAGTTGCAATACATTCCCCAGGAAATCCAGGAAAACGCCGGTACAGAGTGGACACGTTAGTTGATACCTGAAACGGTAGCCCGAGACACGTATCCACTTTTTTGTGGTTTTTTTTTGGGATACGTTAGCTGCTGTGAACATAGGCTATGATAAGTGCCCTATACTTGAGACGCGTTAGCTGAAAATCCAGAATGGGCATGTTAGTGGAAAAGTTGTCCCCCCCTCTGGGGGTTCCCGGGAAACTGCCAGAAGACTACCGCCCCGGACGCCCCAGCATCCTTATTTCCAGACCCCAATAGGGCTCAAATCAAAGACTGCATTGACAACAAAACGGTGGAGAAAAAAGGGGTCCCAACTCCTTCCGGAAGAGCGCATCATAGATGATGCTCGTAGGTGGGCAGGAAGATTTGGGGTGCATTCCAAAAACCAGTTGCATTTACTAAGGTTGGATGACTGGCCATGGAAATCGTCCACTTAACGTGTCCGTGTTGTTCAGAGGATGTGGTTTTAAGATATGTGGGTGGTTATTCAGTTATTCGCTGAATCTATCCCCCAAAAATAGCGAACATATCCCAGATCAGGGTCGAAATCCAAAGGCCCCAATTGCAGGAACTGAGACATGTTAGCTGTTTTTGGGTCAATGGTCCCAAAAAAGGATGCAATGCATTCCCCAGGAAATCCAGGAAAACGCCGGTACAGAGTGGACATGTTAGTTGATACCTGAAACGGTAGCCCGAGACACGTTTGTTCCCGGGAGTGTAGATCTGTTCATGGTTCGGATCAGATTGGACAGGGATATTCAAGGGTTGGGTGGAGTACGTTGGGCTGGGCCGGGTTGGGCAGCTGGGTTGCGCTGTTGGGTTGATTGGTTTCTTTCTTGGTTGCTTCTTCTGCAGGCTTGTGCAGTGCTTACCACGAATCATTGAACCAGGGCCGCTATCTTCATTCTGTGTGCTGACAAAGTGTCATTGTGTCTTCCCATGAATATAGCAATATACATCTGGTTCTCCCTTCCTCCCTGCAACTGATGTGACCCTGTGGGCAACCTGTCTGGAACAGTGTCAACCAGCAAAGTTCACTTAATGTATCCCTTGATATTGCGCATGCAATTGATGCAACGCTACAGATGGGGCAGGCCTTGAGGCATTGCGGAATGCGGAAATGCATGGCCACAGAGCTTCAGAGAAACACAAGATGTTGCAGAATGGGCTGCTCACCTTGAGCATCTGGGCATGTGACCTAAGACCAGGATTGGCTGAAGCCATGCCCAGGGAAAAATGATTAGAGAAAGGTGCGACTGCAAGTGGTCAGCAAATGCCAGTGGCCAGGAACTACGCACGCAGCTAGAAAAAATCCGCTCGGCTATGGTTAGTTCGTTGGCTGGTCACAAGTGGGTGAGAATAATAGACGTTAGGGGTGAAAGCTGAGACTGTGCGAGTCAATCCGCACGAGCCAGAAAGCGATGAATCTGCTACTGTATCTAGTTTTGGAAAGGCTTTTGAAACAAATAAAACACAAATCCGGCAACCCCGAATCCAATATGCTGAGCCTTTTCACCACACCTACAACGTAGCCATCCAGCAGTCTGTAATGTAATGTAATGTAAGGATAATACCTATATGTATACGATGGATTCACTCGAATAAGTACCGTTCTGGGCCCCTTGAAGAAGACTCTGTGGAAGCATCTAATGTGCTGGCCTTTCCATCTTTGCTCCCGTCTCCAGCGAGCTAAGGACAGCTGCAGGCTGAAACAGCGGCAACAGCAATATGGTTTCTGCTTTTTGAAAACACAATATTTTCTGTGAAAAACTCGCAGCAGCCAGCCCTCCTCCTCTCACGCCATTCAAGCCTGCACTTCTATAGCGGAGCTAGATAGCAAAGATTATCAAATGTCAAAACAGGACAATGGACGGAGTGAAAAGGAATGAACAGGACTAGCCACTGACAGACTCAGCAAATTTTAGTAATTCAAATACAAGGTTCTCATTGGCCACATCTTTGGGAATGTCCAACGCGACTGGCCACGGAGATAAAGCATCAATCCAAACCCATACTAGCCAGTCACAGGGCGCTTCAGTGCTGAAAGTGAGCAAAAACTCAGCAAGTTTTGGAATATGGCTGTTGTTGAAGAGCTTTCCAATGAATCCCAAAGATGAGAATGATGCCATGACCCAATGCTTGCCAAGCAAACTTCTCCGAATGTAGCTTCGAACAGACAAAATAAAGTGAGGAACTGGCTGTACGTCATCCTCCAGTTGCATATAGTAATCGGACAAATTGGCGGCATACCACATCAAGAAGGTGTAGTCAAGATTTTGCTTTGTTCTCCACCACTGTCTCTTTGGGCTGTCGCCAAACTTTAACAGCTCTCCTTCGCTCAAATCCAAGTTCGAAATGCCTGCCTTTGGTGCCAACTCCCAACGTTCCAGGAACTGTTCCCAGCCCGTTATGATGGGATCAAGCACCTCCATGTCTTCTGGAGCCCTGGCAAATGCCACACAAGCTCCTCCCGCTCCTCCCGCTCCTCCCTGTATTGCAGTCCAATCATCAGTCCTCCCTACAGCCCACCTTCGATGAGCAACAACTGACGTCTTTACAGAGCACCAGAAAAGTACCCACTTTCCATTCTGAGACCAATATGTGACATGACCTCCCACGAGTTTTTCCTGCCGATAATACTTCCCGTTGATGCTCACATCTTTGAACCCACTCAAGTCAAGGGCATGCAGGTCCGCTTGCTTCAAAGCATACAAATTCCGAGGAGCGTGAATAACTTGCAAACGCCCTCTGCTCATTTCTGTTGCAAAACTTGATTGCAACCACCGAGCAGTTGCAATCACCCATTCTTCATCAAAGTCTGCTAGATGTACAATGATAGCCGTCTCAGCCAATTCCAAATCCAAGACGTTGAACATCCGCGACAAGGTAATGCCCAGGTACGATGCCTGCACGCAAACATACTTAAGGAGTACTTGTCTGAGAAAACGCACATACATCTTTATCCTATAGGCGTGGTCAATACCAAACCATTGATCTGACAGAGCCGTCGCATCATGGAGCCTTCAAATATGTGTATATATATATATTATATATATACATATGTATTACTATATATATATTATTATAATTATAATATATAAATATATTATATGAATTCAACGGAGTGCAAGGCCTTTGGACGTTTGATAGAGGACATGCCAAATGTCATCCACCGGTTTCTGCGGGAAACACGCTTTCCCTCCTGAGGCACATGGCATAAGAGTATCAAATAGAGGGCAAAAACTGTGCAAACTACGTCAAATGTAGCATAGATATGCATAGATACCACAGAAGCAAGTCAAAATTACATGTAAGGAAAGCAAACTTGGTGCTGCATAATCTTCACAGGAAAAGGAAGAAGGAAGCATGTAAGATTCGAGGTGTCGCCAGGATGTGTCACCGTGAGAATATTTTTGTGAGGTGGCAAGCAGTCTCTACTCTAGAAGTTGGTCTTTCGGCCAGGGGTTTTAACTTGAACCGTGCTGGGTTTGAAAGGCCGGATGTGGCTGGATACCCTGTGTTTTAACCTTGACATTTCCAGGTCCTGGCTGAATCAAGCTCTGGTCTTGGCTGGGGTAGTCTCCAACTCTACTTGGTATATCAGTATCAGGTTGTTTTGCTCTTCTGGTAACTGCAAGAAATAAGAAAACAAGCCACGAGTGCGTGCTTTCCGATTCTTCCGGATTTTGTCTGAAACAAATGTTCCCTTTCGCAACGATGTCACTGTCTGCTAGGAATAACATCCATTTGATACAATTTCTTCTCTGCTTCTTTGCGAAGTGCTCTCCGCGTGGTTTATGTGGTTTGCACTCTAACGTGACATGAGTAACAGAAATATGTGATGCGACATCATCGATGATATCAGTCCTCCCCGGCTGGCAGAATTCTTATGGAATCTGGATCCAATCTGTTCAGGGGGTTGCTCAGGTCTCTCCAGGACGTAGAAACCTGGCACTTGGTCAAGCATAGAAAGGTTTGGTTCTGTACCTGTCTTCTATCCATCTGCAATCGTTTCTAACACACGAAGACTAGCACAAACAATGGAATTCTACACAATCTTTCTTCGCCATTCCAGCAAGACAATTATGATATCATTGGTCTGATACAGTGCCCAAGTCTTGTCCGTAATTGAACAACACTCATGCAAACGGGATATAGAATGATATAGAACTTTGGGGCATGGGGTAGGGTACATAGTGGCAACAGGGGAAATGTCGAAGTTCCAACCTTTCTTACCAACAGGTGTGCACATGCCAGCAGACTACAGGTGTCGCTTTGACTCAGAGAAGCCTTTGCAGGCAGCACGTATAATTTGCTTTAGTGAACCAAACCTTACTTCTAAGAAGTTGAAGCCAAAGCAACATGTTTTTTGTGAAATCCCAAGCGCCAAGGAAAAGGGCTTTCAAAATAACAACTACAGACACTACAGCCAAGTATAGTCACTTGAAGCACTTGCATGATTTCCGGGAGAAACGAGATGGCAGTGTGGCCTGAAAGGAAACCAGGAGACAAGCATCAAACGTTCCCGCCTAAAGAAACCTCACAGTCACATGCGAGGGGTTCCTATCAAACACTACTATTATCTACTATTTATGATGGAAAGTGATGGTGTAATGTTGATGATGGCGATGGGCGATGATTGCGATGATGATAATTTAAAGCACCTTCCCTGTCGTCATTCCTCAGTCAATTATTGGTTCCTGAGTTCATCTAGCGTTCATCTAGCACCAGCAATGTGAACAGTTGGCGAACTGCTGTGGCAAATGCTCGAGGTCGACTCAAAAAACGATACAATAGTAACGATGTCAATAGAAAAAGTGCCGTTTACTAAACGCTGCATGAATCTGTATGTCAATATCAAATGGGGCATTCACACACACAGAAGCTTCCACAGCACCAGCAGCTGCTCTCTACACAAACATGTCTTTACGCATAGAATGCCTGTACAGACAGATGCTTTTACAAACAGCTGCTTTTGCACACAGGTGCCTTTGCGCACGCATGCTTTTACATAGGCGCCTTTATACCCAGATGCGTTTACACGCAGGAGCCGCTCAGCTAGGCAGTGAATATCACTATCAGTGGATTCCTATGGATGCCTTTGGATTCCTAGATGTTGTTGGCTTTAGCGGCACTCTGTCCGTGCGCCTCTGGCTCAGCTGTGGGACCATCTGACCAACATCCAAGACGGTCGTCCGCTGTCAGAGCTGGTTGCAGCACAATGGGACTCCTCGGAGCTTGAAACTGAAGGTGACTGTGCTAAGTCGATCAAGTTGAAGAATCGATGTTGTTAGAATTGCCAATGAAACTTGAAACCAACCAGGAAAACATGGAAAGACAGGATTCCTTTACAAATGCTAGACGCCGGATGTTTTGTTTGGAGTTCACGTGGCATTGGAGCACCAAAGGCCTGTCAACAGCAAACCAATAATTGTGGCAATGCACGGGATATAGGTTGTACTTGAGGTGCTTCGCAACAGAGGCAAAGCCGCTAGAAGGACCTGCGTCAAGATTGAGACTGCAAGAAGTCTGCCTGTGTTGCCCTTGGGGGCGCCTCGTGCTCTCGATCCACCAAAAAAGGAAGAGAAAACATGACATGCATACAAGACTTACTCTCCCGAAAACTAAGTGCCAGGTAGGTGCCATATGGTGCCATGTTGCTGCTGGTGAATTTGGACATTTTTGCACAATTCTTGGCTGCATGGCATACTAACATAGAACCCCACAAGCTGCCAGAGAGTGCTCATCCAAAAGTTCCATGTTAGCCATGGCGGCTGACACGGGGAATTTGGAACCATTGTGCTCTTTGTGGTGGTTGATAGATGTAAGATGCTACCAGGTACATAATAGTTCTTTCCCCACCACAGACCTGGAACCTGAATAGTTGTCAAAATGTGAGCGCAATACGAAGTGAAAAGTATGGTCGCCCGAAAGTCACTAACATGGAATTTTCAAGGAAAACGCCTTAAAAACCACTTGGGTTCCAGGTTAACCTTCAAATCAACCTTCAAGGTTGCAGATCGCTTTGTGATAACTTGTTCAAATTCCATGTTGGCTGTTTCAGGGTGCAGTTTGGGTTCAGTTTGGGCCTGCATTGGGTTCCATGTCAGTTTTTGAGTGTTTTTATTGACAACGTTAGTTGCATGATTTCCTGGGGAACAAAGTCCACTTGAGACCGTACCATAGGTTCATGTTAGGAGACCTCAGGAATAGCATGCAGTTCTATGTTATTTTTGGGGAGCGTACCGGCGGAAGAATCTAAAGCGTCAAAGTGTCCTCCCCGCCTGCCCACGAATCACAACAAATAAAATCCCACTAGTGACACCCACAGCAACCTTCCATACACAGTATAAAAAACAAAACGTTTAAGGAACACGAATCATCACAAATCCACACTGCAGCTTTCAAAATCACCTTTCCCCACCTGCCCCGTGAGGGCCTCTAGATTCATGATAGGTCCTCTCCTCCACCTCTACTCCTCCTGTCTCCTCCTGCCGCTGCTCGAGTTCCCGCTTTCAGGGGTCCGAACGCTATGCTAGATCAAATGTCAGAGATATAGACTACCGGAAAAGCCGTCAGAATCGTCAGATAGACTCCCAGGTAAAGTGTCAAATAGAATGTCGGGGAAAGTGTCAGAGTATATGTCAAACAGGATGTCAGATACAATGTCAGAGTATTTGTCAGATAGAATGTCAGATAAGATGCCAGACGGATTTCCAGATACTTGCAAAATGTGAAAGAGGCCGTCAAATAACATGTCAGAATAATTTATGTGAGGTGAAATGTCAGAGAACTTGTTAGATAAAAGGACAGAACATCTGTCTGATAGATACAAAATAATTTTCAAACAAATTTCGGAATATGTCGGAATATATGTAATTAAGTGGGCGGCGATCACTCGAAGTAAAAGCATTCATATACAGTACATCTTCATAGTATAGGCATTGCGGCCAATCCTGCCCTTTACGGGCGCGGCCTCGTTCCCTATAATCAAGCAAACAGCGGCAATGGAACAGGGCAAATGAAGGTCGGCCCGTCTTCCTGGCAACTCACACAATCAAGAACGGGCAACTCGTGAGAAAATGGAAAGCAATGCCAAAACATGGAACTTTACACAAGGATTGGATTGGCTTGCAAAGAAAAGGACATGAAGAGGCAAAACCATGCAAAACCCATATAACAAGCTTGGCGATGGATGGTCCAGAACTACCTTGATTCCAAATCACGTCGCGTACTATCAGATTCCTTTCTTATCTGTTGTCAGCAAGACCTTGTGAGCATTTACAGCAACGGTAGTATTGGCAGTCAGCTGAATCATGTGAGACTGCTCTGTATCATTCTGTATCAACCCTCAATGCTCCTGAGCGTGCTTGCATCTTGCATTGTCAGAGCTTGATCTCCCTCGCAGGCAGATTTGTTGAGGAATCTGAAGAGTATAAGTCAGCGACTGTCAACCTCTAAAGAGCCCTGCGTCAGAAAAGTCGGAATCTCGCTGGCAATCACTCCCAAGAAGAACACAGATCGCAACGGATGCAATTGGACAAACAGGTGCTGCTCCCTACTTCTTTCACCATCCCGGACCTGGCAGAACGACCTGCGCAATTAATGGAAATTCCTTTGTGGCGGAGCAGCGCCATGGCCGCGGGATTGATGTGACAAGCCTTACAGCAGAGAGAGTTGTACCTTCGCTGTCCAGTGTGAGAAGGCAAGCATGCAGAAAACTAGCCCCAACCTTTTGGCAAAAAGATGAAGATAACTGATGATGAAATTAGATGAAATCACTGTATGAAGTGTCAGACTGTGTAAGTTTAGATATGGTTCACTATGTGGAAAAATTACACTTATAGAACATCAATTATAATATTATAGATATTATTATATATGTCCATATGTATTTTGCTCTCAACAGGTTTTCAAGTCGACCTTTCTGATGGAGATACTTGCAGGCTGACTGTGTGGTTGCATGGGTCACTGGGTCTATATATATATATATGTTCTGACAATCAAAACATAGTGACAGTCTGCTTGTTGCAGGGATTGTCTGAAGAGATCACCTGTTAGTTAATCAGGAACCTCTGAACCTATGCCCCCGATCAAACATCGGATCTGCAATTATTCAAAGAGCGTGCTAACTCGCTGCATCCTCACAAGTCTCAAACTGTCTTGCAAAATCATTTCTTCGAATTTCAACAAAGAATCGTGTTCCTGTCTGCAACTTTTAGGAGCCAAATTTTTTCTTGCATTCTATGCATTCTATGCGGGAAATGGCGGGTTGCAAAATATGCATGTCCTATTGGGAGAACGACACAGAAACACCCAAACTTCTGGCGCCATTGGTTGGCAAATTATCGATGTCGCAGTGCTCTGATTCCTTTTATGAGTTGCGTGATGCAAGATGGCCTGGGCTTGAGCAGGAATTCCAAACCAACCTTAGTTCAGTGACTTTGAAACTGCAGTAAACCCAGGAATCTTGCACATACACTGGATCCAAATTCTGGAGCATTCGAAGATGATGGCTTTCCATGGGTTTTTCCATCTGGTGAGTCTGTACGAATGAATGTGCAAAAAATACAGGTCTCGCTTCATTATAACCGTCAGCTCCTATGTCTGTCATGTCTCGGTTACCTTTTGAATCTTTTTGCCCTTTTCTACACCTGCTGAATAGCCAGCATGAATGTCCTATATACCAAAACTATCCAAAACTATCCAAAACTGCTGTGTGTTCTGTGGCCCGCACTCATTCCAGCCACAGACGAAAGGAACACATCCCGCCCCTGGATTGGTGCGGTGGAGACCTGGAACAGCTGGAACTGTCTCCGGAAGCATGGGGAAACATGAGGAAGGATAGGGCTGGGGATATGCTGGGGATACGTTCCCAAACAGGCAAAAAAATGCAAAAATGTATTCTGACATTTCAAACTCAGTGAATGTCAACTGCCAGCGCGGCTTTGCTCTGGGTACTTCAAGGCATCCTTTGAGGTTCAACCTCCCTTGCACATTCACACCGAATCATACCTTCACACGAGAAACTTGCACCTTTCCTTCATGTGCCTTTTTTTTGTCTCTTGATGAGGACACAAATATGATTTCGTGTCTTTGCCATGTTGCTTGGTAAAAACATGGATTGAACAAACTTCTGACTTTGTATATCCCAAAGTACAGTGCAAGCCTTTGGAACCACAAAACTTCCCTGGCATGACCTTGGAATGCAAGCAAGATTCCGGCGCAAAAAGTGACACCTGTTTCAAATGCCTGTCAGTGGCTATTCATTTCGCTCGGCACTTGCAGGTCACTCCCGTGCCGGGCTTGGCCCGGCGCACTCCAATTCCGAGCCCAAGCAATGCAGCACCCAAACACCTGAGGTCCAATTCTGGATGGGTTGCCATCTTTTTCGGCACTTACAGGTAGATTCCGCACAAGGCGGGCAGCGAAAGTTTCCAGTAGGAAGCCGTGTTCTTATATAGGATTGCGGGCCCGGGCAAGGTTTTGCCCGTAGGAGTTGGAATGAAGATTCAAAAGACAAAACACTTTGCATGTTGCGTTTCAATGAGGATTTTTCGGCAAGACATCGTTGTTGAGTTTCTGTAGCTTTGGACCACGCATTTGCGGTGACCAACCCAGTGTTGCTTGACATTCTTTCTGTTGACATTTCTTTCCCTCAGCAGATCATTCTCTTGAGGCCTCTTTCTTTTGACGCAAGTCTAACGTTGCTCTCTTGGGCATGTCCATCTCTTGGCAGTTCTAAGTTTTGACAACTCTTTCTCTTGACAGTTCTGAATCTTCCCATCTCATTCTCTTGGCAGCTCCACTTGACATCCTTTCTCTTGACGTCTGTTTTTCTTGAGGTCTCTTTCCCTTGATGCCTCTTTGTCATGGCGCCTCTTTCTCAAAAGAAGCACGGCGGCTTGGCAGTTAAGCGGTGCCTTTTCCTTATGGCTAAGGGCGCCCTATTCGAGCCACAACATGCTGCTATGCCACTGCATCAAGTGAAAGTTCTCACCCGTCGTCAGTTGAGGATGCCGCAACAGCAGCGCGCTTCATCGCCTTTCGGCGGTGCCGTCCCTCTCGGATGGCTTCCTTTGTGCGCAGCACCTGGTCGGTAGCTGCCATCTACCACAATGCAAGGCTTCGATCAGCAGGCCTCTCTCACATCCAACTTTCGTCAGGACATCCGCCAGCCTCTGTGACGTATCCGCCCAAATCACTTCACATCCATCTCCAATGAACTCCCTGATCTGGGCGACCAGCAGCTTGACTCGTTTGTCGCTTGGGTGTCCAGCTTCCTTGGTTATAGTTGCTTCCAGGCTCTTTGCATCAGTGAAAGCGATCACTGGCTTCTTGGGGTAGTTCAGCTCAAGGTCACGCAAGCTGATTACCTGGGTTCATCATCTCTCGAAGAATTGAGCTGATGTAGTCACCCGACCCCATAGCCATCAAGAAGGCATTCGACTCTGCAGCTAGAGTGCTCCTGCAGACACGTTTGATTTAACCGGACGTAGCCTCCAGGATCATCACAGGAGTTGATTGCCCGTCCTTAATTGTTGGCAAGGACAAGCCAATCACATAGCCGCATGCGACTTGGTGCCCTCCACATTCGCAAAGCTGGAGCCCACACAAACAAAAATGATGCTATTGTGGCGGTTCATCTCAGATGACACAAAACGCTACTTCTCATCGGGAATTTCCTTCAGCATCTTCACAGCCTTGTTCAACTCCACCACGTCTCTGACTCGTGGACAACCACGGGTTTGCGAAGCCATGCTGACGTTCACCTTGACATCAGGCCTTGTCTGCCTAGAGATCCAACCCATGCTCCCTATGGCCCTATGAGAGCACGGAAGTCTGTCTTCTCAGCTTCGGTCAACGGCGAATTGACATCTTTTCGCCTTCCCTTTTCTATCATCTGGTACTCCAAGGCCTCGGTGGCGTCGACCTGCCCGATGGTCACGGTGCCATTGGCTTGAACAACATTCTTTCCACAATACCTGAACTCTTCCGTCTTTTCTTTCAGGTGGATCATCTTGCTCAGCTTGGACATTGCCTCTTCATATGGGGCCAGCTCCGCAGGTGATCAGCTCATCAACGTGGCTGGCCACGATACCGACCAGCGTTCCCTCTCCATCATAGAGGAAAAACAAAGCAGCCGACAAGTTTTGCGTCGGCAGCTAGCTTCTTCCACCAGCTTCTGCCTGCATCTTTCGTTCCATATATGCCCCCTTTTGCTCTGAACAAAGTCCCAGGTCTGACTCCTGGAGGTGGTGGATATGGTGCGCGCAGGATCAACAGACGGTCAATCCCTTTTTCCTGCAAATAGGCAGTGGAAGCATCGTAGGCAGCCAAGATCCAACCCATCAAGCTCCTCTGTGTGTAAAAGTTTCAGTGTGTAAAAGTTTCTTTGCGAACCAGCCTCTGTGTGTAAGAGCTCCTCGTGTAAAGGATTTTTTTGTAAAAACTTCTCTGTGCAAAGGCTTTTTTTGTGTAAAAACTTCTGTTTGTAAAAGCTTCGCTGTGCAAACGCGTCCGTGTGCAAAGACTCCTCTGTGTAAACGCGTCTGTGTGTAAAGCTTCTGTGTGTAAAGGCTCCTCTGTGTAAAGGCTCTTTTGTGTAAAAGCTTCTGTGTGTAAGAGCTTCTCTGTGTCAAGACTTCTCTGCGTAAAGACTTCTCTGTGTAAAGGCTTCTGTGTGTAAAAGCTTCTGCGTGTAAAGCTCCTCTGTGTAAACGTTTCTGTGTGTAAAAGTTTCTGTGTGTAAAAGTCTCTTTGTGTAAAAGCGTCTGTGTGTAAAAGCTTCTGTGCGTATACAGCTTCTCTGCGTAAAAGCTCCTCTGTGTAAAGGCTTCTCTGTGTAAAAGAATTATCTGTGTCAAAGCCTCTGTGTAAAAGCTTCTCTGTGTCAAGACTTCTCTGTCTAAAGATTTCTCTGTGTAAGAGATGCTCTGTGTAAAAGCTTCTGTGTGTAAAAGCTTCGCCGTGTAAAAGCCGCTCTGTGCAAAAGTTTCTGTGCGCCGTAAAGGTGTCTGTGTGTAAAACCTTCTGTGTGTAAACTCGCCTGTGTAAAAGCTTCTGTTTGTAAAGGCTCCTCTGTGTAAAGACTGCTCTGCGTAAACGCGTCTGTGTGTAAAAGCTCTTCTGTGCAAGACTTCTCGGTGTAAAGGCTTCTCTATGATTCTCAGTGTAAAAGCTTGTGTGTGCAAGAGCTTTCCTGTGTAAAAGTTTCTCTATGTAAAAGCTTCTGTGCGCAAAGTCGTCCCTGTGTACAAGCTTCTCTGTGTAAAAGCTCCTTTGTGTAAAGCTCCTCTGTGTAAAAGTTCCTTTGTGTAAAGCTCCTCTGTGTAAAAGCTGCTCTGTGTAAAACCCTTGCCAGCTGCCCTGCATT